TCTCTCCCTCTCCCTCTCTCTCTCCCTCCCTCTCTCTTGGTGAAAAAGTACCTGCACAGAGACAGCCTTGAAAAAAATATATGGAAGATGTCTGGAAAACATGAACTTAGCCCAGGAGAACATGAAGCCGTGAGAAAGAAACTCAAGACTGTCCACTTTGAGTCTCTTTGGTATAAGAGACAAGAAAGGAGAGCTGTTATCAAGCTTTCAAGATTCTGTTACTGTAGCCTTTCTCAATGAAGTAAAATTCAACTATTAATTATGACCTCTGTTTCCTAATGTTGCTTATGATGAAGTCAGACTTATGATGAAGTCAGATCGTTAAGTGGCAGTGCTTAGTTCAAACATGGTATATCTTGAAAAAAAGCTAAGCAAACTCCTAATAAGGAGACATTTCCTGGCAGCGAGAACAATTAACCAGTGGAACAACCTGTTTCCAGAAGTTGTGGGTGCTCCATCGCTGGAGGCTTTTGAGAAGAGATTGGACAGCCACTTGTCTGGAATGGTATAGAGCAGTGATGGCGAACCTTTTAGAGACCGAGTGCCCAAACCGCAACCCAAAATCCATTTATTTATTGCAAAGTGCCAGAGCCGCATCAGCATTGTGGTGCCCTCAGGGGGGGGCATGGGGGCGTGGCCCACTGGGTGGGCGTGGCCCACTGGGTGGGCATAGCTGCGGTTGTCATGGCAGACTGGGTGGACATGGCTGGGGTGGGCATGGCCACCTTGATGTTGCTCATGGGGGGGACGCCTGTGGGGGCCAGGCAGGGTTGGAGATCCAGGGGATCTCTGGTGAGCAGGAGGCCCAGCATAGATGGGGGGAGGCACGCAATCCTAGCTGGGACTGGGGGACCATGGCGCCGATGGGGATCTGGCTTTCCCTGCTCGGGGTGGCCTTTGGCTTGCTGGGCATGGTCGTGCTCTACCACCTCTACTCGAGCTTGCTAGCTGGCCGCTTCACCTCCTTTGTGCTGGGTGAGGCTGCGGCGGCGGCCTAATGGACCTGCGCAAGCTGCTGGCAGTGGTGGTGCGCGTGCCCACAGAGAGGGCTCTGAGTGCCGCTTCTGGCACATGTGCCATAGGTTCACCACCACTGGTATAGAGTCTCCTGATCCAGCAGGGAATTGGGCTAGGAGACCTCTAAGATCCCTTCCAACTCTGTTATTCTGTTTCTTGGTCTGTTCTTGGAGGGGAAGTTAGAAAGAACACGCAGATCTGAACATAGACAATGGCCAACTGGTTTCAGCATGCGGTGGGGGGCAGTTGACCTCGACTTGGAGAAGACGTTAATTTCGCTTTATTTCTCCCTTAATGACCTGATTTGGGTTTATTCCATGACCGTGGGTGCAAATACATCTTGGAGGTGGAGGAAAAAGGCTGGATTGCTATGACAACTGTTGTCAAGGAGTCTGATAACAATGCGCTCAGAGGGGGAGGACGGGAAAGAAAAAAATCTGATTTTAATCATGGCGCTTTGCAATCTCCTTGTACAGCCTTTCCAAGGAGTGTTGCATATCTCTTTAATGCCCTCTATTAAACATCTGGATTCTGGCAACCGAAATATCGCCTCCCTAATGTGATTTGTAAGGGTTGTTCGGTCGACTCAAAATCTACACCTGAAGTCTTCCCACAAACGGATGAAATAGAAAGATGGGTCAACTTGGTTTCTACAGGCAGTCCCACCCTCTTACGACCATAATCCAAATGCGAAATTTCCATTGCTAAGCCAGACACAGTTGTTAAGTGAACTTTGTCCCATTTTACAACTTTTCTTTGTTGTTGTTAAATGAATCACTGCAGTTGGTAAAGTGAGTCCCACGGTTGTGACGTGAATCTGGCTTCCTCATTGACTTTACCGGTCAGAAGGTCGCCAAAGGGGATCACGTGACCTCGGGACACGGCGACCGTCATAAATATGAGTCAGTTGCCCAGTGTCTGGAATTTATGCCGCAATGGTGGCAACTGTGAAAAACAGTCATAAGTAGTTTTTCTCAGGGCCGTTGTAACTTTGAATGGTCAGTAAATGAACCGTGCTAAGGACTTGTTCGTAGCGGGAGCTGTTTTCGTCATTTTTCTCTTGGAAGGAACTGCAATTTCTGGACCTTTCTCGGTTGACTTGGATTAGATGGTGAGCAACGAGTTGCCACCTTGTTCAAAGTCACCCGAGGCCAGATATACGCCTAAGCCACAGTTAATAGGCTGAGAACCACCAAGAAATCCTAGCCGAAGGCAAGATTAAGGACACCTCCATAGGGTTCCAGGAACTGCAGCTGTTTTTATCACTATAACAACACACTAATGTGCTTTCAGATCGGGAGCGTGTGGGAAATAGATGTAGGTCAATGAGCACAATTTCATACGCTTGGTTAGAAAGCACCTTGAGCCGAAAGCTGTAGAATCACAGGGTGGCTGTGGGGCTGCAGAGATGGGGATGGGGACTGCCCCACAACCCTTCTCATCCCCATTATAATCATCAGAGACCCAGTCAAAATACTTCCCTTTCTTAGCAGACCCTCCTCAGGTCTGATAGTCATAGGGTTCCTCATCCTGGACACCCAATGAGACATTCATCTGAATGCTTGTTGTCCTGATGCAAAAAGGGTTAGGAAGAACATCGGAGCTTGGGCTTTGAACAAGCATACATGCAAGGTTTCTACCTGTTCCCCCAGATGCCCCCTCCCGCCCCCAGTACACAAGGTGCTACTCAACAGGGAAGAGCTGCTGAAGCCAGGGTGTCCTCTTGGCTCCTTCTGAAAGGTCATTACATCTAGGAAAAAAAAGGATGCTATCTAGAATCATGTAACTCTAGAGATGGAAGAGACCACAAGAAACATCTAGTACAATTCTCTTCAATGTGCAAGAAGATTAACTAATCAAAGAGAGAAGCAACCCAGAATTAAGGAGACATTTCCTGACAGTGAGAACAATTAATCAATTAAACAATTAATCTGGGTTGCCTCCAGAAGTTGTGGGTGCTCCATCACTGGAGGTTTTCAAGAAAAGAGACTGGATAACTATTTGTCTGAAATGGTGTAGGGTTTTCTGTTTGAACAGGGGGTTAGACTTGAAGGCTTCCAAGGTCCCTTCCAAATCTGTTATTCTGTTAATCAGACAATCATCAAGAAGTAGCTGTCCAGCTTCTTCTTAAAGGTGTTCAGAACCCACTTCTGTACTAGACAATGATGGATGTTTTTCAGGAATTTTTTCTAATATTTAAATGACATCTAGGTAGTTAAATGCACACTGGTCATTTCTGATCTTACTTTCTGTTGGCCTGTAAAATATTTTCTGGCCATTTTTCCCTGTAGCTTCCCTCTATATTCCTGAAGATGGCTTAGCTTTCTTGCAAGTCGTCTTTTCTTTAGACTTGACGTTCTTCAGACTGGACCCAACCAAAAACTGGTTGATCACCCAACCAAAAACTGGTGGAACTATGTAAGGTAGACATGGTCCATGATTTGACATCCAATACTCTTAACTGCTAATGAAAGACTAGAGGAGACCACACAGTTCCCATTCATTCCCAGTTGAACCCCCACCAAAGCAAATGGAAACACTCAAGCATCAACATTTCACAAGAGTGCAACTCAAGGCTGTTGTATAATTGTTTACAAGTCCTCACCAGCAATCATCTTACACATTCAGGGTACAAATGCAGAAATTTTAAAAAAAGTGAACAATGGCAGTACAAAACAGTACAATCAGAAAAGGAGACATTTTGTTTTCTCCCTTATTTACTGCTCTTTACAGCAATGTTTTTTTTTAAAAAAAAGAAAAAATGAAGGAAAGAAGGAAAGAAAGAAAAGAAAGAAAGATCACATGATGCATAACCAAGCTGTTCCTTTAAGGCAAATTATATTTCTTCGTATTCCATGAAAAACTGAAATAAAAGATTGTATTTTCCCTTGATGGCTGTTTAATGCCAAATATTTCAGCTTCTCTTTGACCTTTAGTGACGTTAGCATGTGTGGATTTCAGGGGCTGCAAACAAACACATTCACTACTCACCCCAAATCCCCTCCGACCTTCCACCCACACCCACATGCTTAGAAATCCCGTTATGTTCAGTGTTGCTTACTCCTAGGAAAATGTATGCGCGATTGCAACTGAAGACTACACCACTCTGCACAGCTCTTTGTGACAAAGTTCCATTGGGCATAAGGAAATTATTTTTAAGCACAATGGTAAAAACCCACAATCTGGCACGTACCTAACCCAAGAACCAAATCTTCTGGGAACAGAGATCTGAGTAAATCAGTTTGCTTATGTGCGATAAAGGAAACTTTATGTCCCACAAATACATGTCTTGTTTCAGTCAAGGCTCCCATCTGGTTTTAAATAGTAAATCAGTGCTCACCCTTTACTACTAGGTGGTGCCTGGCCAAAGAGGCTGGCCCAATTTAAATAGGATTCCATTTCAGTGAATCTAATGCCACCCTGTATTTAACATTCTCTCTTCTACCTCATTAACAATCACACCCTGTAGTAACTTTAGAGAGTTGCAGTTAGCCTTGGGGGTGGGGGCTCAGGCCACAGCCCTTTTGCTATTATTTGGGGGAAACAGTGATATTGTGCTTTTTGTTGTTGGTAAAACCTAGAAATAAATCCTCCTGTGGTGTGGATTTCTCATCCAACACAGCAGAGAGGACTTTGGAAGAAAGCATGCGGTTCACGGGCTGCATAACTCATTCCGCACATCGTAAGCCCTTCAGTTGGTCTGTTAGGGGAGACGGCCGTCAAGAATGAATTCGTTTTTTCATCCTTGGGAGACTTTCTAGACCGACAGAAGGGTTCACAGGAAGATCTAAAGCTCTCGAGAACCATTCAGCAGGTCCTTCAGCCAACACCTTGACTTCTGGCCAACTTCTTATGGGGCCAGGTCCCCTAGGTAATATTGGTGAGAAAGACAGTGGTTAAAAAAAAAAGAACTCAAGAGAGAAAGATCACACAAGAAGGAGTTGGTTTGGCAGATGGAATGGAAAAAAAAAATCAAGGTCCACTTCTGGAGACAGGAACAGGCTTCGGAGAGGCCTTCAATGAAGTAGCTTCGTTCTCAAACTTGCCTCAAGTCATCCTCCAGTTTTGTTTTCACAGATAAATTGTGCTTGCCTGCCTCCTATACTGACACATCTACTCAGGTAGCTGCAGGAGGCACTGGTGTGTTCCTCTTCCGGGTTTACTCTGTCTGAGCGTCATAATTTGCACCTCCGGCTTTCTTCAACTCACTCTTGATGTAATCGGCATCCAGTTCCTTGTGGTCACTGATCACAAACTCTTTGGCGAAATTCTGCAGGAGACAAAAAAGGTAGAGCCTGTTTAGGATGGGACCGGATAGCAGAATGTCCTCCCTAGGAAGCAGGGCTGAAGGAGATGGTGGACTGCACACTTTTTGAACAGGAATGGAAAGATTTCCCAAAAAATAGTTCCAGAGAAACTCTTTCACGAGTTTGGGGTAGTTTTCCACTGCCATAATGCCTCCCCCTTCTAATATTCATCTGAAACCATTACGGCAGGGACCTAACCCAGCAGTAATCACATCGTCATCAGGATGGCTGCAGAGAGGTGTGAGAAAACATAGAAAAAGGTTATTTCCCAAATGTTAGCACATATCAGATGTGTTGTATTTGAACTTCCAGTCTCAACCACATCCGTTACGTACCAATAGTCCTCACGTTGTGACTGTAATGGAGGCTGCCTATCATGGTCCTAACTCATGATGGTTGTAAACAGTCACATAACCAACCTGATTTTACGACCTTTTTTGTGGTATAACTGCACAGCAGGTGCCCGGCAACCGAGCGGTTTGCAGCATCCTACAAGGGTGACTATCAGAAGTTCGAATCTGGGTCATAACTACCTCCAGGTAGGTCCACCAGAGCTTTGAACAGACACTCAGTAATCGGTCATAAGTTGAAGACCCCCTTTAATTCAACACAGACAGAAGGTCCCAAGTTTGGGAAATGTTTCCTCTCTTTTTCCAGGAAGGAGGACAGGAGCAGGTGTGGTCAGAACAATTCCTCATGGATGAGACTGAGCATAGCTCACCGAATTTGAGCAATTCTTAAGCTGATGACCCTCTTGAAATACACAAGAGAGGGTTCTTTCTGTCTGTTTCCTGCTGAAACCATTTTCTGGATCCTCTTAAAATGCCATCCCCAAGACAAACAAGGGCTTTTCAGTCTCCACACACACACCCCACACTCAATTTGCCATCCCATGTTGACCTTGGCGATGGCCTCGGGATGAATGACCACCTCTGTGTTCCTTCTAGAGGGCGTGAGCCCCACAAACAAATACATCCATTTGTTTGGGGCCAGGAAGCTGGGAGGGGCCTTGACAACCTGAATGGCTCCACACAACACAAAAGGCGGAGTCTGCGTAACACACCAAGGAGAACCACAACAAACATCTCTGCAAACATTTGATTCAGTCCCTTGGGCGGAGCAAAGAAACTGAAGCTTATTTGTAGTTTAGCAGCCAAGCATTAATATCCTCCATAGCTTCTTTCCACCTTACGGTCAGTAGCATCAGGACATGTAAATTAGCCAGCTTAATTGTCTTGGAGGATATTTTCCTTTAGATCTTGGCTTCCTCATTTCAGCAGAAGGACGAGGACGCAAAGCAGTTCAGGATCACTGGTGCAGATCAAATGTATTCAATCAATTTAGCACCCTTCTTTTGACTGCAATTGGTACAACCCGTTGTAAAGGTTACAACAGCTAGGCTAATGGAAGTTGAATCCAACATTTCTAGAAGATGTTGCCCTCTTTATTTCTGCTGTAAGCCCAAGGTTAGCAAACTTGCCATGTTCCCAATTTATGGACTCTCGCTTCCAACTAACGGAGCCATAAAAGTAATTGAGGGTGGTACAATAAAGCGCCTTGGTCCGCATTAAAAAGAAGATACTAGGAATCAAAACTCAAGGTGTAACCAAGGATGTCTCTTGTTAGCAGCTCAGTAAAGTGGAATCAGGAGTCCTTGGTACTCTCTGAGATTGGTGGTTTTCTAGCAAACATTTCATTACCCAAACTAGGTAACATCATCAGTGCTATAAGCTGGAAGCAAATCCTTCTAGCATTGATGATGTGACCTAGTTTGGATAATGAAATGTCTGCAAGAAAACAACCAAGCTCAGAGAGCACCAAGGACCCCTTCATTTCTCCAGTCTTCTTGTACAGCTTCACAAAAATCTTACCTTCTTGATAGGACAAGAAACATTGACATGAACACCTCAACTTACCTGGACAACTTCTTTCACGAGCGTCTTATCAGTCCCTGTTTTAGCTCTCTGAAGGCCACTGACGTTCTCCCCTATCCAGGTGATCAGTGCAAACTTGACTCGCTTGCTCATGGTGTCTCCAGTGGTGAACCGGATGAAGCCAAACAACCGAATGTCATCTTGAGAAAATAAAAAAAATAAAATGAAAATAAAGCAATGGACTGGAATGGACGGAGAAGCAAAATTCGACTTCCTCCAGCCGCATACAAAACAAATTTTCATTGGTAGGATTCATGACCTCCTGTGAGTTATTTGATGGCTGGGGATTATATCCTATCTGCCATTCTGCTACTTATAGTAGAGAATATTTGTAGCTCGGGGTTGAATTGTGGGGTCCTTGGTGCCCTCCGAGCTTGGTTGTTTTGGCTACTGCTACTTATTTTTTCAAGATGGAGAAATTGTGGGGCTTTCCACACTACTGAGTCACGACAACAGGTAAAAAAGGAGCAAGGTTTTGATTATATGGTTATGGCCACCATCTTGATTTTTTTTTTTTTAACTTCTACCTCTGGACACCTTTGGCCCAAAGGTCTAGGGCAGTGATGGCGAACCTTTTAGAGACCGAGTGCCCAAACTGTAACCCAAAACCCACTTATGCATTGTCGGGTGCCGGGTGGGTGTGGCCCATTGGGTGGGCGTGGCCCATTGGGTGGGCGTGGCTGCGGTGGTAACGGCAGACTGGGTGGGACTAAAAAGTTTAATCAATCAATTCCAACTTTGCAAGATCTTTTTTTTCCCGTGAGAAGTTGAAATTGACTGATTGATTGAACCTTTTTTTTGTGTGCACGGCGGTGGAGGCCTAAAGCAAAAAGGTTTTATAAAACCCAGCTGAAGGCCTAGGGCTGGGGGGATGGCGCGAGTGCCCACAGAGAGGGCTCTGAGTGCCGCCTATGGTACCCGTGCCATAGGTTCGCCACCACTGGTCTAGGGCAATGTTTCTCAACTTGACAACGTTAAGATACATGGACTTCAACTCCCAGAATTCCCCAGCCGGCCATGCCATCTTAACCTTGCCAAATTCTGCTCTAGAACATCCTCAAGCACAAAAGAACTTATGCCGAAAAACTGAAAAAGGAAGTAAATAGAAGTAGAGACACATCAGGCCATGATTTGTATGCATGTACATGTGTGTGTTCGGGGAAACAACAAGGATTGCCAGAGAAAGGCAAAGAAAAAAAAAATCAGGGACTTTCCTTTGTGGAAAATAAAACTGGAATTCCAAGCAAACTGGAAATTGGAAGCAGCAGCAGAAGGAAAAGCTAAAAAAAAAATGGCATCTGTCCTGCAGCCCAAGGAAATTGAATTATTTTTTTTTTGCGAAGGCAAAAAGCAAAGGGGAGAAAAATGATTTGCAGACAGACAGGAATGGGCTGTCCATGAGAACCTCAACCACAATGAATACCATAAGGAGGGCTCCTCTTCCTCCCTCCCCCAGCCATGCTATGCCTTGTTTCCCAGGCTGTTGGCCCTTTAAAGTCAACATGAAAGAGGAAAGCATAGGGTGGCAGGAATAGAAGATGAAAAACAAGACATGAACCATTCAGGATGTTTCCTGCTGCAAGCTTTTTTTCTGTAAGCTGAAAGCAAAAGAAAGCAGGATGGAAGTAAAAAAAGGAGGGAGTGGGGGCTTTGAAATATATATATATATATATATATATATATATATATATATATATATATATATATATATATATATATATATATATATATATATATATATATATATATATATATATATATATAAAAGAACAACCCATTTATATGGATCTATGACACCCATGTCTCTAACAGCCCCTTTCACGATTTCTCCCAAAAAATCCTATTTTTTTCCCCTTTGCTTTAATTCATGGCTGCTGGGGAATTCTAGGAGTTGAAGTCCACACACCTTAACATTGTCAAGGTTGAGAAATCCTGCTGTTGACTTTGGATCCAGAGGTGTCTAGAGGAAGGTGTTTTTAAAAAAGTCAAGGGGGGTGGCCATAACCATATAATCAATCCATTCACATGACTCTATGACATCCAGGTCTCTATCAAACCCCTTTCACAATTTCTCCTGAAAGCCCTAATTCTTTCTTTCTTTCTTTCTTTCTTTCTTTCTTTCTTTCTTTCTTTCTTTCTTTCTTTCTTTCTTTCTTTCTTTCTTTCTTTTTCTTTCTCTCTCTCTCTCTCTCTCTCTTTTTTTTCTTTTTCTTGCTTTAATTCATGCCAAAATGGGTGGCTATAGAAATCAAATGAATAAGCAAGTTTGCAGTTGCTTGGAAGTGACATCATACACATCATCAATCCAGACCTTTGCTTGGGTGAATGTGCAGAAATGCTACTTTATGCTGGTGAAGAATTGGGTTTTCTTGATCTGCCTCTCTGTCCATGCCCAAGAATGTTTGAACATTGGTAGGCGGCCCTTCTCATTGGCCCTTGAGCCACACATCCGTGTTGAGGCATGCTGGCTCTTGAGATACAGAAGGAGAATTTCTGCCAGCCTAAGGTGACATTCCTGAAATACAACTTCCTCCACCCAAAATAACATCAGGCTCTGCGTGTTTCTTACATCACTTGCAACAGACGGCTGATGTTGGAGGAAAATTAGGAACTGCATTTGGGTGTGAATTAAAACAAGACCGAGTTTCAAAGGTCGCCACTGACAGGCCGAGCAAGACAAATAATTTCTGGAAAAGTCGCTCTTGTTGGAATTTGGACTCTTGTTGAAAGAAATAAAAGCACCCGTGAACCCTCTTGAGTTTTTCATTGAAGGGAGGACTGAGAATCTCCCAACAAAAGGCTTGTGAGATGGATGACATCATTACAGTTCAGGGCTTTTCAAAGCATTTTTGGAGGAAGGGGGTGTTGGAGAGTGTTTTTTTAAAAAAGCAAATTTCAAGCTGTTTGGCCTTTTCTTCCTTCCCCTTGGCAACCGAGGAACATGGGTTGGTTGAAGAGAGCAAGAGAGAGCTCACCTGTACACTGTCGTATAAACTCTTCGTATTCCACGCCATTGTGTCCTGGGATGATGGTGGAGCCCTCGTACTTAAATGTCACCCTTTGGGAAAGGGGGAAGGAAGGTTAAAGAGAAGATGGAGAAGCAGGAGAGAAGGGGGAGAAGGAGAAGAAAGGAGGGGGAGAAGGGGGAAGAAGAAGAGGAAGAGGAGGAAGAGGAAGAGGAAGAAGAGGAAGAAGAGGAAGAAGAAGAAGAAGAAGAAGAAGAAGAAGAAGAAGAAGAAGAAGAAGAAGAAGAAGAAGAAGAAGAAGAAGAAGAAGAGATGATTCATCTCCAATTCATCTGCACGATTTCAGAAGTCTTGCACCTCCCCAGCCAGACCCAACCAGGTTTTTATAGAGTGAGATGTCCCAGTTCCTACCTTGCCCCAGAAGCTTAGAAGGAGGAGAGCCTAGTGGCTCCCAGGGAGAGATGATGTCATAACCAAATATGCTTTGCAAGAACTCTAATGATAAGTTGAGTTCCTTCCATGCAAGTCGAACAGTTTGGGCCTCAAGCAAGAGGCCAGCTTAGCCAACACAGAAAAATCTTACCTCACACGAGGACCTCACAATGGGTTCTAAGGCCCATCATCCCCTCTATGTTAGCTTGGGAAGATTGGCATGGGTTCCAATGCCCATCACCCTCCCCCATTGTGCTAGCCGAGGCACTCAAAGAAGCAGTGCAAGATCGGAAGAGGTGGAAAGTCCTGGCCTAGAGAATTGCCAAGTATTGGACACAACTGAATTGGTAACGTCATCATCATCAGGAAGACAAGCATCATGGATTCCAATGCTCATTATCCTCCCCCTACTGCTAGCTTGGGAAGACAGGTATCATGGTTTCCAATGCCCATCATCCCCCATTTTTGCTGGCTCGGGAAGACAAGTATCCAGGGTTCCAATGCCCATTATCTTCCCTCTTATGCCAATTTGGGAAGACAGGCATCCAGGGTTCCAAAGCCCATTATCCTCCCCATTGTGCTAGCTTGGGAAGACAAGTATTACGGGCTCCAATGCCCATCCTCCTCCCCCCCCTTCTGCTAACCTGGCAAGACAGGCATCCTTGAACCCCTCCCCACCCTCCCCAAGCAAAGCAAATCCCATAGAAAGATCCTGACTAAAAGGATCTTCTTCCCTGGCTTTCTGTCCCTTTCGCTTGCCCGGCGGTGAGCTGCGACCCAGGCTGGGCTGGGCTCCTTACCAGTTCACCCCCGTGCTGTCATCCCTGACCAGGTTGTAGGCCCTCCGGCAGGCTTCTTTGTCGATCTTGGTGGCCATCGCCGCTTCTAAGAGGCGCTTCCAGATCCCGAGGCAAGGCGGACGCGAGAGAGGCGCCCCAAAAGGAGAGCCACCCGCGCGGCGGGAGAAGAGCGAAAGGGACCTCCGACTGGCGCCCTGAAGAGAGAGCAGGCTCGGCAAGCATCCGAAGGACTGAGCGGAGGCTGCGGGGGAGGCGGCCGCCGAGCCCTTCTGCTTGCTGCAGTCGGTCCCGCAGCCTCGCCGGGAAGGGATCGGTCCGAGCGGATCCGGCTTAACCCCTTCTCTGCCGGCCGCCCGGCTCTGCAGCTGCTTTATTGGCCCCTGGTCCGAGGAGGAGGAGGAGGAGGAGGAGGAAGAACAGCAGGGCGAGCTGGGCCGTCTCCTCCCCTCCCTGCAACCGCGTCCTCCGACGCCCCTTCTTCCCAGCCCAAGGGGGGGGGTCTTTCTGCCCGCCTCCTGGCGGCTCTTCCTCCCCTCCCCTCCCCTCCTTCTGCAAAAGGAGACAAGGGATGGAGGCGGTGCAACCGAGAATGCAAACGCTTTTATTCCTCCTCTGGAATTTGTATAGCTTGGTGTGCGCCGGAGTGGGGAGGGGAGGGGGGGGGTCTGAGGGAGTGTCTGCGAGCCTCGGGTGGGTGGGCGGGTGGGCGACCGCGGGTGGGGGGACAGTCAGCTAGAGAGCTACCTATACAAGATGATTTGGAGGAATTGTTCTGTTAAAGGGGAAGGAAAGGGGAGGATGGATTGATTGCCTGCCTGCGTGCCTGCCTGCCCGCCCTTTGGATGCGGCGCAGGGGTTGCCATAGCAACCGCCCCCATCCCGTTTGCAACCCGAACCGAGAGGGCTAGGTGGGAAGGGAGGGAGCGGAGCTTAGCAACCGGATTAGGGCGGCGGGATCTGCGCTTGAAACTCTGGGCGGCCACTAGGTGGCAGCAGAGAGACCCGGAAATCTGCAGAGAAAGTTTAGCGCAAACTCCGCTTTGTAATAAACCGGATTGATTTTGAAGCCTTTATTAGGGGTTTTTTTAAAAACTTTTTTTAAAGGTTTAACTCCTTAATAATTACTGTTAAATCACTTGTCTGGCCCCGGATTTTTTCCCCACTAAGGAGAAGAGGCCCTAGGTCCCCTGGATATATTGCTTCTAAATAGTTCAGTGAAAGCAATAAAACAGTAAAAAAAAACATTAAAATGTCTAATTCGAGCACATACAAAGCAAGATTTGTACTTCTGCTGTTTCTGTGCTCATGACATTGGTCTGACTTTTATGGCTGCCACCGTACTTATCTTTATATAGAAATGTTCATTCCTGCAAACAAGGTTTTGGCCAAACAGTTCGGTTTGATGAAAGGCGAAATCAAGGAATCGGACACCCCTTAATATGCCGTGTGAACCCAGAGTCTTTAGAAGATTTTCCTTGTGTACTTCCAAACAATCGCTTATAGACAAACCCTGCAAAGGAGAGCAGAGAATAAATAAATCTGATTTGTGTGGTCATCAAATTTTGGAAGCCTTATGAATGAGATCGCGTGTCTAACAATGAGAAGCCACTCTTTCAGTTAAAGAAGAAACAGCTGAGCACACAATTCATACAGATTTTTTTTTCTTTCCTTTTTTTCCCCCTTTCCACTCACCCTTGCAAACCTGTGCGTAAAAAACTAGGGCAGACCAGTTATCTCTCAATTTACACACTCCCTCTGGGCCACTTATCCTTTGAATGTGGAAATTGAATTTTATTTCTTCGGATCTATTTCAAGAGCAGCTATCTCCCTCTGCTGGACTGGAAAAAAAATCTGGGGTTTTTTTTGTGAGTGTTAAAAGTAACAAAAGCAAATGGAGGCTGGGGGACAGAAACCCTCGGACACCCCAGCCTGGGGTGGGGGGTGGCAATCTAATAAATTAAATGTCAACGGTGATTACTTGGGTTATCGCAAAGATCAGGAAACAGATCCTGTCTCTGTCTGGCATTTGGAAACTACAATATTGCTGCCTTTAAATTTTGCAGAAGTTTTATTAACTGGGCTGAAGGCCTAAAATGTCCAGGACAACCGTTTTAAAAATAAAAACAACTCTACCAATACAATCGTGCAGTTTTCCCAGCAAGAAAACAGAAGTGCTTGTCCTTTTATTCTTCACAGATTTTTTTTTTCTTTTCCTTATTTGACCTCTCCACTGTAGTCCTCTGCAACCCCGGTATGCCCACGGAGCGCTTGGCCCAGTTACGGTCGAATCAATCCATCCATTTGACTGTCGGCTGTCCAGAGTTTTCGGCAGTCAGAAATGCAAGCAAACAAACAAAGCACACACACAAAAAAAACAGAACGGTGTCTTGTTTGGTTTAACCTCTAATCGAGGCCGAGACATAAATACGGAGCACCGAAGCGTAAAATGTTGCAAGTCTTGTGTTTTATGGAACGTGCAATTTAGTTGCAACGGCGGAACAACATCCGAGGACGGCGTGGGGCTTCTCGGTCTCCCCCTCCTCTTTGTCGGGGCATCCAGAGGCGGTCCTTGGAGGGGGCCCCTTCCCTTTCCAGCCGCCTGAGAGGAATGCTAATGGCGAGGAGGGGGCGCACGGGACGCCCCTGCCACTCAAACCCTTGCAAAAAAAAACCGCCACCAAAACCCCGCCGCTTCTCCTTTACACCGCAGCGGAGCCCGGACAAGTCCCGCCCCCTCGCTAGCCAGCCAGGCCCCTTTTTTTGCTCCCATTGGCCCTCTCCGCTGCCACTCCGGCCTGCCAGTTCCTGGTTGCGAGGCTGGGCTGCCGAAGGAGCGGAGGGGGAAGCAGGGTCTCCCGCGGGCAGAGCGGTAAGAACAGCCGCAGCATCTCCGGCTGGCTGCAAAGTCCAGGGATGCTGGGACTGAGGCATGATGGGAAACTCCCGCGGCCCTCTTTGCCGCAGGTTCCTGCCTTGCCCCAGTGGGGGGGGGGGGGCTCGGCTTTTCCTGGGGAGGGGGAGGCAGTTGGTCTCCTGGGGAAGGGGGGAAATCTCGACTGGACCCAAGGCAGCAGTGGCTGAAGTCCAGACCCCTCCCCCTGGGCCCCGCCCGGACCAAACTGTGGTTTGCTTACTCCTGGCGTTGCAGTCTGCAAACCATGGTTCGTGACTTGGCATGCCCAGAGGACTGTTTCGTGCAGTGGGTGAAGGCACCAGGCTAGAAAGTGGGAGACTGGGAGTTCTAGTCCTGCCTTAGGCACAAAGCCTGCTGGGTGATCTTGGGCCAGTCACTCTGTCTTGGCCCTAGGAAGAAGGCAAGGGCATACCAACCAGAAATCTTGCCAAGAAAACCACATTGGCTGGTTCAGGCAGTTGTTAAGAGTCAGCACTATCTCGAAGACACACACACACACACACAATTGTTTAGCAAAGCATGCCTAAATCATGTGCTCCTAACAAACTTGCCTACCAGCAACCAAATTTCTTACCTTTGAGGTTCAGATTTAAGATCACCCTTTGATGGAGGGATACTGTAAATCCCTTTCTTGAGTAGACATTCTCCCCCTGTTCAAAACAAGGCGTTCCAGCCTTGCAGGGTGATTCTCTGTGGGTCTACTCAGGAGTAAAGACAAGGAGCTTCACTGGCTAATATCTAAAACTGCTTGTTTCTTTTAGCAAAGAGTTTGGGGTCCTCTTGCAAGACTGAGGCTGTTTTCCATTCACTGATGTTTTTTTTCCAACCCTCCCCAGGATTGCAAGCCGCTGCCTTGATGGAAGGCCTCAGGCAAATCAGATTTTCTCGCCCACCCAAGATCAGCCAATCCTCAAAGGTCTGGTTACTTTTATTTCCTTTCCACCTTTTGTAGGGGGGTTCCAATCTCAGAGTGTTTTGAGAGCACCAGGTTGGGGAAGGTCATGGGATTTAAGGGCTTTTAATCCCTTAATCGGCCTCTCTTTTTGCCCCTTGCTTTGCTGCTTTATCTTTGCATTCCTCTCTTTTTTGTGGCTAGTATATATTATTGTGAACAAGTTTTTAAAAAGTAAAAAGTATTAATAAAGGAGAATGTAGCTCAGGGTTCACATGAGGAGTCCTTGGTGCTCTCTGAGCTTGCTTGTTTTCTTGCAGCCATTTCATTACCCAAACTAGGTAACATCCTCAGTGCTAGAAGAGAGTGGAATTTGCGTGGTGGAGGAGGAGAACGAGGAGGGGGAGGAGGAGGACTATGGAGTCCTTGGTGCTCTCTGAGCTTGCTTGTTTTCTTGCAGCCATTTCAATACCCAAACTAGGCAACTTCTAAATAACCCTCTACCATTTCAGACAAGTGATTGTCCAGTCTCTTCTTAAAAACCTCCGATGTTGGAGCACCCACAGCTTCTGAAGGCAAGCTGGTCCATTGGTTAATTGTCCTGTCAGGAAATTCCTCCTTAATTCTAGGTTTTATTTATTTATTTATTTATTTATTTATTTATTTATTAAATTTCTACCCCGCCCTTCTCCCAGCGGACTCAGGGCGGCTTACAGCCATCTAAAACAGGTACATAATACAAAAATACTAATTTTAAAATGTAATTAAAATAGAATATTAAATTATTGGCCTTTTCTTTTTAAAATTATTTTAAAACCAAATTAAGATAACCCTNCCTGCTAGCTTAAATAGCCATGTCTTGAGGGCGCGGCGGAAGGAGGGGAGATCCGGAATCACCCGGATCTCTGGGGGTAGTTCGTTCCATAGGGTGGGGGCTCCAACCGAGAAGGCCCTCCCCCTGGGGGTCGCCAGCCGGCACTGTCTGGCTGACGGCACCCTGAGGAGACCCACTCTGTGGGAGCGTATCGGCCGATGAGAGGTAATCTGAGGCAGAAGGCGGTCTCGGAGATAACCAGGTCCGATGCCATGGAGCGCTTTGAAGATGATAATCAACACCTTGAAGCGCACCCGGAAAGCCACCAGCAGCCAGTGCAGCTCGCGCAACAGCGGCGTTACATGGGAGCGACGAGTCACTCCCATCACCGCTCGCGCGGCTGCATTCTGGACTAACTGGAGCCTCCGAATGCTCCTCAAGGGGAGCCCCATGTAGAGAGCATTACAGTAGTCCAGGCGGGAGGTGACAAGAGCATGGGTGACTGTGCGCAAGGTTGATTCTCTCCTTGATTAGTTTCTATCCGTTGCTTCTTGTCTTTGCCTTCCGGTGCTTTGGAAAATAGCTTGACTTATCTTGACCCATGATGCAAACTATGTCCTGGCATATGACTCACCCCTAACTTGCAGGACATATTTTCTGATCCAATTTATCCTCCTTTCAGGTGTACAAATTTGCTGACCACTCCAGCCTTGTTCTTCAGAGCCTGAATGAACAGAGACGCTGCAACCTCTTCTGTGATGTGGTGTTAGTGGTGGAGGAGCAGAAAGTCCCCGCTCACCGGAACGTTCTAGCTGTGTGCAGTGACTATTTCCACACCATGTTCACGATCGGCATGCGAGAAGCTCACCAGAAAGAAGTTGAGCTCTTCGGCGCCACTTGCGTCGGCCTCAAAGCTGTCCTGGACTTTCTCTATGGGTGCGATCTATTTCTCAACAGTGGAAATATCCATTCTATCTTGGAAACGGCTCACCTGTTGCAAATCTGGAAGGTGGTGGATTTCTGTTGTGAGTACTTGGAAAACGAGGTCAACGAAGAGAACTACTTATACCTCCAAGAACTTGCTTCCATCTTCAACCTCAAGCGCCTGGACTCCTATATTGACACGTTCATCATGAAGAACTTCGGCACTCTCTCGCTCACGCCGGACTTCTTGCAAAACCTTCCTGTCGAGAAACTCTGCCAGTACCTCGGCAGTACGGGCGTGCAAGAGGAGTGTGAACACGACTTGCTGCAGGCGGCTTTGCGGTGGCTGATGCAGCACCCCGAGCGGGAAACAGAGGCCTACCGAGTCTTGGAGAACATCCATTTCCCTCTGATCCCAAAGAGCGACCTCCTGCACCAGGTCAAGCCGGCTATCTGCTCCCTCCTTCCCAAAGAAACCCACTGCGAAGACTTTGTGGAAGAGGCGGTCAACTACCACAATCAGGTGGCCGCTCAGCCTGTCCTGCAGAACAAGCGGACGGTTCTCCGGACCCAGGAAGAGAGGCTTCTCTTTGTCGGAGGAGAAGTGTCGGAGCATTGCTTGGAGCTGAGTGACGATACCTGCTTCCTGGACCCCAAAACGGGACAGTGGGTGAAGGAGACGCCGCTGCCCGCCAGACGGAGCCACCACTGTGTTGTGGTTCTTGGGGGGTTTATCTTCCTCGCCGGCGGCAGCTTTTCCCGTGACAACGGTGGGGATGCAGCTTCGAATCTTCTCTATAGGTATGATCCTCGGTGTAAACAGTGGATAAAGGTGAGGCTTGAGCTCTCATACTTTTTTCTTTCTGTGTGTTTGCAGATACAGATAGTCCTCGACTCACAACCACAATTGAGCCTCAAATTTCCATAGCTAAGAAAGTTAAGTGAGTTTCGCCCCAATTATGACCTTTCTTGCCACTGTTGTTAAGTGAATCACTGTTGTTTAGTCACATGGTTGTTAAGTGAATCTGGCTTCCCCCGTTGACTTTGCTTTTCAGAGGGTCACAAAAGGGGATCACGTGACCCCTGGGACGCTGCGACTATCATAAATATGAGTCATTTGACAAAAGTCTGAATTTTGATCATGTGGCCCTGGGGAGGCTGCAAAAGTCGTAAGTGAAAAATGGCCGTCCCTTTTTTCAGTGCTGTTGTAACTTTGAACGTTCACTAACTGAAGTTTGTAAGTCGAAGACTATCTGTAAAGGGGTCAAGATTTCTGCCACCCAAAATAATAAAAATCAATGTTCTCTAACTGTGAGGTTGGGGGTCCCAGCAGGCCATGGGCTACAACTCTTGGGATTCTGGGAAAACCCAAGTCAGAGAGTTTAATGCTTTCATTCAAGAGTGATAAAATATACGGCTTGGTTTCCCAGTGTTCCCAGTTTGTCTGTCCACATGGTTTCTGTGGATCTGGGAAAACAGTATTTCTGAAATGGTCGCCTTTAAAAAAAACCAAAGCACAAACATCTGGTCGCAACCTATCAGGAACCAAGCAAATAATGAACATATATAAATAAGTGGGACCCAGGCAAATAGCTTGCATTTGCTCTGTGCCAGTCCTCCATCCCTGCCCTAAGTTGTGACAAATATGCTGTTTTTAATTGTCGCTTTCTGTGACAGATGACCTTTGGCACATTGTTGCTTTTCTCTCTCGTTCTCAGCTCGCATCGATGAAGCAACAGCGAGTGGACTTTTACCTTGGGGCCATCAGAGACATGCTGGTGGCTGTGGGTGGCAGGAATGAAAACGGAGCGCTGTCATCGGTTGAGACCTACAGCCCCGAGAAGGACACCTGGTCCTATGTCGCTGGCTTGCCCAGGTGAAACAGAGCAGATGATAGAGAAATTTCTCTTTCTTTCCTTCCTGTTTTCCTTCCTTCCTTCCTTCCTTCCTTCCTTCCTTCCTTCCTTCCTTCCTTCCTTTCCTTCCTCTTTTCTTGCTTTCCTTCCATTTTTTTCTTTCTTTCCTTCCTTCCTTCTTCTTTTTTTTTTCTTTTCGTCTTTCTTTCCTGGGCTGCCCATCTCACCTACGAGTTGACTTGATCACAGTGGGAAATGGTCTAAGTTTGAAACTGTCACTCAGATGGAGAAAAACTCGACAGCAGGCCTCAACATACAACTGGCCACTTAACAACTGTTCAAAGTTACAACGGACCTATCCAGAGCTATTCACAACCCATTTTCGGAATGGGTTGACATTCCGGAATGGGTTGACACAAACACGTATCCCTCATAATCACGTAATCACATTTTGGGCAACTGACTCACCTTTATGGCTTTTTGCAGGGACAGCAATTTGCAATTTTTTTGCCATTTTGTGGCAAAAGACACTCATTAAGGACAATGGATTTGCCTAACCATCATCATAAAAACTATCGTAACTTCGAATCCAGTCACATGATACCTCAATTTATGACTTCTGACTTAATTCTGGATGCCATTACTATCATAAGTCAAGGACCTCTTGTAAGACAAAGCAATCTGTGGGTCAGTTCCCATTCTTGGTGCTGGCAAGGGGATGTGTGTGTTTAGAGCAATCAAAGAACACAACTGTCTTTATCAAGAAGGCCAGATACGACCTTTAGTTTTGGAGGTGCGGCTTGGATTAGTAAATTGAATTGTGGGCACCAAAGCTTGTCTGCCCAAGTTAAGACTGTTGCATTTTCCCCCAATGACCTCTGCAAATGTTGGATTTGCCAATAATGACCATGCATAGTTGGTTTCGATTAGGTGAAACCTGGCTCAAAAGCAGTAACTCTTGAGAGAGATCTTGGAGTTTCAGTGGACAAAATCACGTAAATATGAGCCAACGGTGTGCTGCAGCAGCCAAAAAAGCCAATGCAATCTAAGGTTGCATTAACAGAGAGAGAGAGAATCAAGATCACGTGAAGTATTAGTACTACTTTATAAAGCCTTAGTAAGACCACACTTGGAATACTGCATCCAGTTTTGCTCACCATATTATAAAAAAAGAGGTAGACTCAAGTCAGCCACATGGCATAGAGCAGTGGTGGCGAACCTATGGCATGGGTGCCAGAGGCGGCACTCAGAGCCCTCTCTGTGGGCACGCGCGCAGTTGCCCCAGTCCTAGTCCTTCAGCTGGGTTTTTATAAAACCCATATAAAATATATAAAAAATATAAAAAAATATTATAAAATCAGTCAATTTCAACTTCTCGCGGGGAAAAAAATCTTGCAAAGTTGGAACTGATTGATTGAATTTTTTAGTCCCACCCAGTCTGCTGTTACCACCGCAGCCACGCCCACCCAATGGGCCACACCCAGCCAATGGGCCACACCCACCCGGCATAAGTGGGTTTTGGATTGCAGTTTGGGCACTCGGTCTCTAAAAGGTTCGCCATCACTGGCACAGAGTCCCTGCTTGAGCAGGGGGTTGGACTAGAAGACCTCCACGGTCTCTTGCAACTCTGTTATTCTGTTAATTCAGGCAACTGCAGTTGTGACTCATCTGGGAAGCATCAGATTAAGGAGGCCTCCGGAGAGAAGAGCAGGGAAAACCTGGTAGCATCAGAAACCTCAGCCGTTTCCGACACACACACAATTACTTTTTCTCTTTCTGCTTAGTTCTTAATTCTCTGTCCCAGCCCTCCTTCCCTGAGGCACTAAGCTGAAGCAACCCACAGGTATTTTCTTGCAAAACAGTCTTGAAATTAGGTCAGGGTTTGCCTCCAGTTCTTAAGATTACCAGTTGCTTACTTTTATGTCACGGCTGATCTATCACCAAAGGCACTTCGGCAACGGAAGATTGTGCCCAGGGGGTCAAAAATAATTCAGTGTGGGGACACATAGTTCAGATTGCATGGATTTACGTACTGAATAATGGGAAGGATCTTTCTCTGTTCCTGGCCCCAGAGAGACAGCTACTGTAAGACAAAATTCAAAAATCCAAGTCCCATCTTAGTCACAAAAGCCAGCTGGCTAACTTTAGGCCAGACTCTCTCTCTGAGCCCAACCCACCTCACAAGGTTGTTGTTGAAAATAGGAGGAAGGTGTGTTGGATATGTTTGCTGCCTTGAGGTAGGATAAAAATACAATAAAAATAATCTTGCAATCAAAGAGAGCAGCCGTTGGACTTGGCAATATGTTGAGTAAAATCAGATTCCCAGCTGAATAGAGTCCTTTTTTGTGTTTATTTATTCATTCAATTTCTACCAAGGGACTCTGGGTGGCTTACAATTCTAAAATTATAAAAAATGAAGAGAGTTACAAAAGAGCAAAAACCTCCAGAAAATAATGCCTGTTTTTAGATCACAGCCAACCTTTATTCTTGCCAATTTGCATGGGTGTGTTTCGATTCTTCGCTCATGTTATCTCTACTCTCTTTAGAATTTAATTCATGGATTTGAGAAACTCAAAACACAGTCAGGCATGTCCTGTTACACCACAGAGTAAATAATTAAATCTGAGAACGGGGTTTTGAAAGCATTCTCTCCTCCTGCTAGGAAGGGCTGCTTAAAGTCTTGTTTGGCTTTTCCTTCCATTGCAGGTTTACGTACGGCCACGCGGGTGCTGTCCACGAGGAACTCGTCTACATTTCGGGAGGCCACGATTATCAGATCGGTCCCTATCGCAAAAACCTGCTGTGCTATGATTATCGAACAGATAGCTGGGAGGAGAGGAGGCCCATGATCACCGCTCGGGGCTGGCACAGCATGTCCACTCTACAGGACGACATTTATTCGGTTGGGGGCAGCGATGACCACCTGGAGACCATGACGCGCTTTGACATTCTGTCGGTGGAATCCTACAGCCCCAAGTGCAATCAGTGGACAAGAGTGGCACCTTTACTCCAGGCCAACAGTGAGTCCGGTGTGGCCACGTGGGATGGCAAGATCTACATTCTGGGAGGCTACAGTTGGGAAAACACAGTCTTCTCCAGGGCCGTTCAGGTCTATGACAAAACAACAAAGCAATGGCAAAAAGGGAATGATCTTCCCAAAGCCATAGCCGGCGTTTCGGCTTGCGTTTGCGTTTTGAGGCCCAGATCGTACGACAAAAAGAAAAAGTCCAAACTGCAACGCCATCAGGATCGAGGGAGATGATGGATTTTGGCTTGGATCGAAGCCTGTCAGTACCTTTTCCTGATGCAAGTAGTCTTCAACTTATGATCACAATTGGGACCGGAACTTCCATTGCTAAACGAAGTGCTTGTTAAGCGGAGCTGTATCCGATTTACATTCTTTCCGTGATGGTTGAGTGAATCGCCATGGTCATTAAGGAAAACACATGGTTGTTAAGTGAATCCAGCTTCCTCTGTTGACTTTGTCTGGCTGGGAAGGTTGCAAATGGGGATCATGTGACCCTGGGATGCTGCAACCTTCCTAACCCCCTGCCAAGTGCCTGACTTTTGATCATGAGGACGCTGCAACAGTTGTTTAAGTGCGAGAACTGGTTGTAAGTCACTTTTCGTAGTGGTTGCTAAATGCATGGTCATTAAATCAAGGACAGCCTGTACAGAGAACTGGTTTTGGAAACTTCAGAACAGTTTTTCTTGACTTGGGCTGGAGAATTTCCTCTGTTGTCCATCTTTGCTTCTCTGGACTGGCGAGTAAGCTGCACCAATAAATGTTACTCATCTTGGAAGTAACCTCAGCATTAGGGCGCAAAGTCTATGAAGACAAAATCACAGAGCGTTTACAAATGGTAACTAAGGAGATGAATGTCAGAGATCTTCAGAGAAAGTGGAGCAGGTAGATCTCCTTTTCTTAAAAAGGTAGAATCGTATCAATAAAAGCCTGTCCATCAAAACTTACTTCCTGTATTAAAATCCTGCTTTGGGAAAAATGGATGAAAATGGAGAAGTGAGAATGAGACAGAATAACATTCAACTGTCCCTTATGGCTGAATTGTGATTTCTGAAACTGTTCTGAAGCACTTCATTTATTTATACTGCTTTTAGCAGTCAAGACAGGCATGTCAAACTTGCAATGTCACGTGACATCGCACAACGTATCACAACTTTTTCCCCATTGCCGGCAATGGGGTGGGTATGGTTTTGGCGTGATGCATCCGGCCCGCGGGCCAGCAGTTTGACATGCCTGAGCTAAGAGGTTCCTGAAACAGGTTTTTTTAACCCTACTCATATGCTTTGCCTGAAGATCTTATCAGCATCTGGAGGTACTTTAGCAGAATAGAGTTGGAAAGGACCTTGGAGGTCTTCTAGTCCAACCTCCTGCTCAAACAGGAGACCTATACCATTTTAGACAAATAGTTGTCCAATCTCTTTTAAAAAACCTCCAGTGATGGAGCACCCACAACTTATGAAGGCAAGCTTTTTCCATTGATTAATTGTCCGTTCCATTAATTATTCTGTCAGGAAATTTCTCCGCAGTTCTAGTTTGCTTTTCTCTGTGATTAATTTCCATCCCTTGTTTCTTGACTTGCCTTCTGGTGCTTTGGAAAATAGGTTTAAATAGTTTAAATGATTAAAGATTATTCTTGTTTCAGGCAAAACACATTTCTCATGCATTTGAGGAAGCCTTTATTAGTAGAAGACCCTGTTTTCCTAATACCGTACTTAGCTGGGCACTGAAAAACAGTTTAGTGCTGGGAGCAGCGAAATATGGTCTTGCCTTAGACACAAAGCCAGTTGGGTGACTTTGGCCAGTCCTCTCTCAGCCGAAGGCTACTTTTGAAAAGGCTACTTTTGAAAACAATGCCTAAAAAAACTACAGGAACTCATCAATGTAGTCTCTAGGAGTAAAAACACTGGGGAAACAACAATCTTTGAGAACTAATTTGTGTAGTAATATTATTCTTTCCTGTGAATGAAGCTGATCATTTTTACAAGGTATGCTCAATATTAGCTTGGAACGATATAATCTCCTTTCCTCTACATCTTTTTGTGTGTTTAATCCTGAATTTGGATTTCAAACAATAAACTGTTTCCAAAGAAGAGTTGGCTTGTTTCATACTGATCGACCAGAGATGCTGCTTTCCATCATCAGGATTCTGAAAAGGAGGGAGTGAATAATTTTGAACTGCGCATGTAAAGTGAGTAAAATTGTCCAGGCTTCATATGAAAAGTCCAGCTGGATCACACCCAACATGCTTGTTTCCTTCAGCTATCCAAAATGGGATTGCAATATCATTTTTCCCTGTCACAGAGAGAAAAGCTGACCAGAGGTAAAATATTGCAGGAAAGTAATACCATGTTGTAGGAAATTTAAATAATTCCAAAGCAAACCCCACTCCTTACTAGCACTGATGATGTTACCTAGTTTGGGTGATGAAACGTCTGCAAGAAAACAACCAGGCTCAGAGAGCAGTAAGGACCACTCCTCATTTCAACCCTAAACTATAACATTGCTTTTAGCAAAGAGGGAGCCAGTCTTTCGATTCAGGTGGCCTATTCCGACAACACCCCGTTCCCTACTTCTTAAAATCCAAGCAGCTCTCTCCGACACGTGCTCTGGGTAAAGTCCAGCGCCTGCGCAGTGCCAATCAATCGCCTTCCCGTCGCGCATGCGCAAGGAGCCACACCTCTCGGGGAAAGCACAAAAATGTATTCAAATAAGCGCTCATGCGCAGACGGCTCCCTTCCCTCCCGATGGCCGAAATGCGCGTGCGCAAATATGTCTCCATCGTTCCCCTCGCGCGTGTATGGACACCCGCTCCCCTCCACCTTGAGGAGATGCGTGCCAATCCTTTCCCTCGCATTCATTCATTAATTTCCATAATGAATAAGGTCAACGCTCCTCGGGGCATAGTGATATAAAAACTCCCACGAGGCCCAAACCGGGGAAGACGGGACCCTCACCGATCAATGACTGAGGCTAAGGAAACGCCTCCGGAGGCGAGCCGCGCTTGCGCAAGACACCCGCCTTTCTCTCCCCTCAGACCGCCCCGCCCCGACGCTTTCCCGCGCGCCTGCGCAGCCAACAGTTGGCCTCCCTTCCAGGCCTCATCTCCGGAAGGCCCATGCGCAGAGCAGCGGGGGGGTGGCTCACCTCGAGCCGGCGAGCCCGGCTGTGGGAGCGTAAGGCGCGTGCCGCGAGCGCGCGTGCCGTTACTGCGCAGGCGCCGCGGCCGCCCCTCCCCTGCCCGCCCGCCCGCCCGCCGTGTGTGGTGGCGGCCGTGCGCCTTTGCCAGCAGCGAGTGAGCGAGAAGATGGCGGCGGCGCCCGCCGCGTGAGGCGCTGAGGGAGACGGCTGAGCCCGCCGCCGCCGCCGCTGCCGCCTTCTCCCTCAGCCGAGGGGCCGGGTCGCCATGGCGGTCCACAGCGCGCAGGTAAAACCGCCGTGGGCCCTCCCGCCGGGGCGGGAACACGCTGCTGGGCCGGGCCTGCCCGGTGCCTGCAGCTCCGCGGAGCCCTTCGAGGCCCGGCGACGCTCGCGGGCGGCGGAGGTAGAGGAGGAGAAAGGGGCCCGTCCCGGCCGGGGCTGATGGGCGCTGTGGTGCTGGGCGGGGAGGGGGCCGAAGCGGGCCTCCCCTTCCCCACAGGGCCGCTCAATGGGGCGGGCGGAGTGGCTGCAGGGCGAGGGCGAGGCGGGCCCTTCCCGACACCCCTCCGGGGCCCCCGTCGGAGGGCGGTCGGTCGGTCATGGGGTGGGGGGGCTGCCCTCTGTCAAACGGGGAGGCGGGCGGCGGAGGAAGGCCGCTGGTCGGCCCCTGCCGGAGGCTCAGCAGCCGGGCCCGTGGAGGGGCTTCCGCGCAGGCCCCAGTGGGGCGGCCTGGCCCGGCTCGGCTTCCCACCTTCTCCGCCCGGGCTGTCTGTATGGGAGGACTCGGGTTGGGGTTGTGGAAGACGGCCCGCCGGAGCTTCTCCTTCCCAGGGAATGGGGGGGGGGCTGCCGTTTGCCTTCCGTGGTGGTGGGGGGTTAGCTCCCAGGCCTGATTTTCCTTGTGGCTCGGTTGTCTTGCATAGGCTGGGCTGTGTCGAGCTGAAAGTCCAGGTAAGGGTGAGGATTGGAGTTGGGGGGAGGTAGGGGTGTGTGTGTATACAAACATGCGCATACACATTAGCTCAGTATTCACCTATTCACACATAATGCATATGTATTTGTGTGAATAGGTATGTGGGGGGGTGTATTCACACACTGATCCAATGCTCACACACACACACACACACATATACATACATACATATACATACACACACTACACATACACACACACATGCATATATGTGTGTTATGTATACACACAACCACACTAATCCAATGGTTGCCTCTGCATACATACATGTGTTATATGTAGGTATACACACAATCTCACTAATGCAATGTTTGCCTATATGCATGTGCACATGCACATGCAAATACATGTGTGTTATATGTATGTATATACACACAACCACTCAACTCTAATCCAATGCTTGCCTATATGCACGCATACATGCACGTTTGTGTGTATATACATACATACATATATATATACACACACACATACATACACATATACATATACATATACATATATATATATATATATATATATATATATATATATATACAATGTATGCTTTATGTGTGTGTGTATATGCACTCAACCGTTCTTAACTAATTCAATACTCGCCTATATGCACATATACATGCATACATATAAGAAAGGGATGATGAATAGCTTTTGGAGGAGAGCTGGTAATAAATTTATGTTTTTTTATAGCAGTGTATTAAGGGCGAAAAGGAGGATAATAATTTTTGGGTATGAATAGAGATAGGACAGATTTTTGGCATCTTCCCTTTTTATTGAGCAGAACATTTTAGCATTTGCTGATGGCTGGGGTGGGAAGGTTTTCTTCATTTGCTGACTCTTGTTTGTTCACAGTTGTAAGTTTTCAAACATGCTGTTAGGAATGCAGTCGGAAAAGTTATTGGGATGCTGTATTTTAAAGTGATGATATGCTGTTTAGGTAATGAAGAGGGTTTTTACCTCTTGATTTGGGTGTCATGAAAGTGCCTCATGTCCTTTTGATTTTTATGTGGCATTTTTGCCTGAAGGATGAGATGTAAAACATACTCCAAAAAGCAACTTGGTTACATTCCTATTTATAATAGTCAGGAAATACATAGTTGTAAAAAAAATAAATGGTAGCTGTGCTGTCTTAATTTATGGAACTCTGGAAAGTTTACAACTTTTGTGTATCGCACCTCATGAATTCTGCCTACTCAATTTAGCAAATAGAACTTCAGTCTTTATGTTTATTTGTATATGTATACTTAAAAGCAACACTTTATAGAATGTTAGCTGGCCATGTCAGTTTGGACTAAAAGTTTCAGGATTCTTCCTTGTTATTTTGTTGATGTCATCAAAGTTTTGTTTTTAATATAAAGCGCTACATCAGTGCATTTAAAAAACCAAAAAGGAGTGCAGATGTTTTGAAGTGGTATTCTCATGATTTCTGCTTGATTTATTGTTTAGCATTTCAATATAGGTTGCATACTTTGTTCTTAGGTTTTATTTCTGATTTTTGCATAGGAAGCTAAAATTGAATGACTTCTTGAAAAGACAATCAGTTTGGCTCTGGGAGACATGCATTTACACATAGCTCTTGCAAATCTATGTAGATATTGCATTTTCTTGGTGTCACTTGCTGAATTGATCTAATTAGTTGATGCCTATATTTGTATACACAAATCTTATATATCCTGTACTTAAATTTCCTTTTTGGTGTTGTAATTGAAATAGCAATAACTGCCAGCCAGTTAAGCCCCAACTTCATATATTGCCTCTATGTAGCTAGGAATCTGAATTGTGCTTATATCTACCACGTGCTGTTTGTTCTGCATTGTGAATGAAGCAATAACAACTTTTGACATTACATTTGTAAGAGTGGCTTGCTCCTCTAATTCTTAAGACTACTACACCATTGAGTAGATCCTCATTCAATTAAATATGTTTCAGTATTGATTGTAACTCTCATCATGAAACACAGGAGATCCTCTACTTGTGTTATTGTGAGTAGGAGAAAGTTTTGTGGTTATCTTGCTTCTGATTTTCAGTGTAAGTAACAGTGACTTTAAAAGGAGTAGAAAAAAGGCATTTCTTTTTTAAAAAAAAATTGGACTGTATTTTAAAGTTAGGGTGCATTTAACTTCTCCAGGGAAAGATGTCCAGGTTGTGGGCTTTTAAAATCAAATTAATCTTAAAAGTGATTTTTCAATACCGACCCAATTTTGTGCAGCGCTTAAAGTGTTAGATTTTAACAGGAGAAGGCAAAGTTCACAGTACTTTTCAGTAATAAAGTTCACCATATAGCCTTGGACAGCACACTGAGTATAATCCATTTCATAGAGATACATTAGGCATTATGTTTTTAACTGCTAGTCCTAGTATATATATGGAGGTAGTTTAGGAAAAACTGATCATGTTTTAATGAGTGCTTAGTTTCTACCCATTTAAGGAATAACCGGTGAAAAAGAATAAGTGATTATATTTTGCTTTTTGAAAGGCTGGAGGCATTGCTGTGGGACTAGAAAGTGAAAAAAAATGCTTAATTTGCATGCATGTATGATATCGTAGTTGCAACAGTCTCTTTAGGGTCCCTTTAAAGATGCAAGGATACTACTTACTCTAGTATGAGAAAATATAAGGGCAAGACATTTTAAGTTTTTAAACGCATATTGCATTGATAATGTTACTATGGGTAATGCAATGTCTGGGAGAAAGCAACCAAGCTCAAGAGAACACCAAGAAACCCCCTCCCCCCATTTGTGGTGAGGCTATTTAGTATCTGGAGCCTTAGGATTGGTGTTCTGTTCCTTAAAATTACCTTGTAAATTGCTTCAAAAAACATACTGGATTTTTTTATTAAAAAAATAGTAATTATATTGGATTTTTAAAAAAGCACCTAAAAGAATCTGTTTCTAATCTGCGTCTACAGCATTTCATTTAAGACCCAGACTAATGGATAATTTTTCATCAGTTGCTTAGGGATGCTATACCTATTTTCCAGGAAAGTGTGTAATCTTTTCAATTCTCCAGAACTCTTCTTTTTAAACTTTTGGTTGGTCTTTTCAGTAATAGTGGGGGTGGAAATAAAAAATAGAAAATTAGCAGTTTGTAAATGACTATTACTATATTTTATTATGAAAATTAGCTTTTAATAGGTGCTACATTATTTGTAGTAAAGCTTATGAGGCCTTTCCTGTCCTAGTTTTGGGATGTATTGGACCAGAAGCATATTTTCAAATCCTGTTGGAATATGATCATATATTAAATTCATGTCATTTGTTGCTTCCTCTGAAATGAGTAATATGATATGCTGGACTGCCTGTTTGTTAATTTAAAAGCTATGGTTTTGATGCAGATACTTGCCTTAAAACCACTGTATACTCATGGCATGAATATTTGTGCATATGCACATATATTGTATGTATGCATTTTATTCAATTCAATGAGAAGAATTATGCTAAAATTAGCTTGAATTCTTACACTATATTAACTAAATCATATCTGTAGGGTTCTGTCATTTTGCTATTATAAATCTCTTAAGAGTCTGGATTTTTAAATTTCTGCACATTAAGATGTGCCTGAACTTGAAGCTTCTGGCAGTTCTCTTACACTACATATTAACTTTGTTATTCTACCTTGGTAATAATTAAATAGTGTATAGAGTTTTTTTAAAGAATGATAAAACAAGATTGAGAGCCAGTTTGATGTAGTGATTAAGGCATCAAAAAAGAATCTTGAAGGTTGTGAGTTCCAGTTCTGCCTTAGGTATAAATCAAACTGGGACAGCCAGTCTCAAACCTAATTAGTAGGCAATGGCAACTGACTTCTAAAATCCTACCAAGAAAACTGCAAGGACTTGTCAAAGTAGTCTCTCTAAAAGTTGTGTGACTTTGTTTAAGGTACACACACACAAAAATAGTAATGATAACACAATTATTTTAACGGAAGCAAAGTACTAAACTCTTTTTAAATGAAAATATTCATATTACAATCTGCTAACTGCAGTTGTTGAAGAATGTTTTTTTCTTTTTCTTTTGGCAGGCTGTTTAAATAGAATGTCTAGAATATAATTTCCTTGGAATTTAGGTTACTTTTTTGAAATTAGAATTATGGTGACTTAATTCTTTTGCAATATGTTTTTTTTAATGTAGATTGCAATCTACAGAGCAACATTTTGATTTAGAATGCAACGGTAGAAAAGGTTGTTTCTCACATAATGTTCAGCCAAATTCTTTCAGCCCCAGGCTTCATTCTGTGACAGGCTTGTTGTACATACAAAAAATGGCTGAGCTCTCACAAAACTGCTGCAGCTTTGCAAGATTTCAAATGTGATTTCAGCAATTTGGGGTAGAGTCAGTATATCTTTTTTGGAAATAAGCAGTTACTCTGGTATCTCTAGGCAGTGTTGTCAACCTCAGTGCCAAGCTGTACTGTACTATAGGTTTATGATGCAGAAACTCATGTACAAGACGTCCTCGACTTACAACAGTTCATTTAGTGACGGTTCGAAGTTATAACAGCACTGAAAATAGTGACATGGCCATACTTAAGACTGTTGTGGTATCTCCGTAGTCACGTGATTTACATTTGGCTGTTTGACAACTAACTCACACAATGGTTGCAGTGGCCCAGGGTTCATGTGATCCCCTTTTACGACCTTCTGACAAGCAAAGTCAATGGGAAAACCAGATTCACTTAACAACCATGTATTGATTTAAGAACTGCAGTGATTCACTTAACAAATACGGCAAGAAAGGTCGTAAAATGGGGCAAAATCACTTAACAAATTTTTCACTTGGTAACGTAAATTTTGGCCTCAATTGTGGTCGTACGTTGGGGACTACCTGTAGTATGTCAACGTAGGATGCTTGTCTCAAATCACCATGGCTTGTTCAACAAACCATGACTAAACATTCTGACTTAGCATATATGGATATATTTTAATGGTAGCTATAACTAACTTCTCAAAGGAATTTTGTAAATCAGCCTTCATTTAAAAATAAAAGGTGTATGGAATCATATTGGCTTGATATGATTCCTCCAGATAAGTTTGATAATTTTTCCTGGTTCAGCCTTACCGTAGAATTAGCATTATAAAATGTGCATTTATGGAACATGCTTTCTGCAGAATTATCTGTGGTGAGCTTCTATGGCTAATACATATATTTAAGTTTCAGCTTACTATAATATTACTTTTTGCTTATTGTTGTCAGGGTTTTGTTTTCCTTTTTACAGATCTTTGTATTAGAACTTTCTGGCTTTGAGCCACTGGATTATAATCATTTGTCACTTTAATGCTGTTTCAGCAAAATAGATGGTGAGTTTGAAAGACCCAGATTGCTAGACATGCAGTTTTTTTCTCTCCAATTGAAATAGTAGATATATGGCTGTGTATAATGCTTTATATATAACCATTTAGCCTAACGCTCAGCATTTAAATAGCAGTGGTGTTTCACGGCATGAGAACTTTTCTGTTTTAAAACACTTCTGTAATTAGAACCAGAATGTTTTCATTTCCCTGTGCATAATTTGTAATCCTCAAAAGAAAAACTTTGTAATTTTGTGGCAGTTGTGGAACTGGTTAGCTGTATGGGAGACCAAAACAAAAATCCTTTCAACATTGTTTAAATCATAAATGCAATAGTTAAGGCACCGTTTGACAAGTACCATTGTTCTCGGTTTCAGCAGCATGTGGCGATGGGAATTTGTTCTAAATATTTAATGTATAACTAGCAGTAAAAGTGTTTTTCTCTGACAGTGTCATCCTTCCATCCCCATCATAGATGGGTGGACTAATGTAATTAAAGTCATTGTATATCCTTTCTCTGAAGCAGTTTATTTAGGACTTGGAAAGAGATGTTCTTATTCTGCCTTGTACTTAATAAATTGTGAAGTGTGTTTGTCCAAGGTGAAGGCAGAGAGGTTGCTGGTAAATGGACATCAGGTCCTATTTCATTGGTGAGTTGATAAGAGGCTTTAATTGCTTGCTATCTGATTAAGCTTGAAGGTGGACTGGACTGATCAAGACAAAAAAAAAGAATGATTGGAGGAACTGAGTAACATGTCTGACCGTGTAGACTGCCAAAATCCAAACCAGTTGTCTCCATCCTAAGGTGCGACCATTGGGTTAAAATAAAGGTTTCAATGAATGCCATTGTTTCAAAATATTGGGTCTCAGCTTTTGCCTTAGTGTAGTCTGATCTGTGACACCCAATTTTAAATGGGCTATTTTGGCTGGAGATGATTTTAGCTGAGAAGTATTTTGTAGGAAGTCTTTTATTATTCCCCAGAAAACACCAAACCTGCAATACTGTCTGTCCTTGGGGAATTGTCAGATAAAATAGGCCACAAATATTTAGACTTCTTGTCATCGTAGTTGCCACTTCTCCAGCAGGATTTGCAGGTTTTGGAAGACATTAGCGCAATCTTGTAGATACTATCTGCCTGGAGCACAGTTTCATTCAAGAACTAAATTCCTCCCACTCCTTGTCTTTGTCTTTTCATCCTCGGATCATCCTGTTTGGATTATTATGCTGGAACAAAAGGCATTTTTTAAAATAAGTTCTTATATTATGGATTTGCTTGGGTAGTGATTCAAGCAGCTTCCTAGATGACCTATTGGAATAGCCTGATAGGAGAATATCAGTGGGTTTTCCCCTTTTCCACAGGCAAGACCTTTTGCAATTGGAAGACATGAATTACAAGTAATTTCAAAATGTGGGCGAGTACACAGCGGTACAGATTTCTTTTAGAAATAACAAATGATTGCTGCCTGTCCAGAATGAATGCATATAAAGACTTACTGGGAGAAATAGCAAAATAAATGGTTTATTACAATAAGCTAATAATTTAGCTTATTGGTGTAAGTAGCTGGACATATGCCTAGGCTGGAATAAAGGAATTGTAAATTGGACTGGATTGTTCAGAATAGTCTGCTATTGTATTGTAGTAGTGTATTGAAAGTAAAACTCATTCTGTAAACTCTTCAGATATCATCTAAGCACAGCAGGAAAGGCATTCTTTTTCAGTCATAGAATTACTATGCAGTGAATAGTAAAGATGGCTTGTGGAGTGGTGCAGTCAATTTGTCATGTCAGGATTTTGCTACTTTATTCTGCTGCGCCTGTAAAATAGACAAATGGCAAAGAGGGGACGGGTTGTTAACAGAATAGTCTATAGCTATGTAAGGCAACTGTTTTAGGATATTTTACATTACTACAGGTATTCCTTGCTTTACAATCACTTACTGTTCAAAGTTATGTCAGCACTGGAAAAAAATGACTTACAATATAGGTGCTCGCATGACTGTCGCAGCTACCCTGCAGTCAGGTGATCATGAATTTGGCGACCATTTGCACATTTACGACTGTTGCAGCATCTTGCAGTTACGTGATCACTATTTGCCACTTTCCCTGTCAGCTTCTGACAAGCAAAGTCAGTGGGGAAGCTAGCAGGAGGTTGCAAATCATGGTTACCTGAAGGTCATTTGCTTAATGACCATGGCAAGAAAAGTAGTAAAATCAGTGTAGTCACATGATAATTTATGACCATGCTGCTTAACAACAACTTTTCCGATCCCTATTGTGGTTGAGGACTACCTGCACAGGGTATTTAAATGAAGTTTGCGGAACTATTTCTCCATGTTTTCCTGACACTTATTATGGGCTGTATGATGTCTTTGGGATTGAATAGCAAGGAGCCCATTCTCAAGCAGATTTGAGCTGTTGGAAAGATGGTTTTCGTGCCTTGCCTCTTTGTGAAGGAATAATCGTGGAAGGATAAATGTTACACCCTAAATATAAGCTAAGAAAGGGCAGGGGTAATGATCGGTTCATATTTTGAGGCACCACTTCAGCAAAGTGGTAAATTAAACATTTAAACCTTTAAGAGGAATGTCTATATAGGAATAAGCGGTAACAGCATTTTAAATGTTGGTTGTGTTGTGTAACTTCATCTAATACATCTCAGGTTACAGTTCAACAAGTTGTGCTAGTTCTTGTAATTTGAAATGTTACCAGAGTATAGTATCAGTTGAAATTAGGTTTGATTAGTGCTGTTGAAAATTCATTGAAATATGAGAATGACTTTTGGCATGCTTAAGTTGTCAGATTGCTTTGAGTTGTTGGATAGTTGATACCTACCAGCTGCTTAGATAGTCCTTAATGGATTAACCAACGCTTTAGACTGGATTTCCAAACCAATTTTACTTTAGCCCAGGTAATCCTCGATTTACGTCCCCAATCAGGACCAGATTTTCAGTCACTAAGTGATGCAATTGTAAAGTGACACATCTTGTGTGGCTGCATTACATAATGGCAACAAACCCTGTTGCTGTCATTAAGCAAATTTTACCAGTCATTAGCTGAGGACCCACCCCAAGCCAAAGTATTCCAGGCTTGGTCCCTCCCAGCCCTGAGCCTCAATTACATAAGGGGCTGTCTCCAACTCCCCCCAGCTGCCCATCTCTGCCGTTTTGGCTGCCTTGTGCACTGTCTTGCAGGGCAGCAAGCAGCCCCAGAACCTCGTGGCTCTGGGGGTGCTTGGTGCGCCCCAAGAAGCAACCCCAGCCCAGATCCCCACTGCCCTATGCCCCATTAACCCAGCTGACTTTAGTACTGGTTTTTAGACTGTAGGTGCAGCCTGGTTTTCCAGAATCTAAAATATTAAGATTGTAACTTGAGTTACCTCTTACGACTTTGGACACAGAGCTGGGTAATTGTCAGCTTCTCAAGATCCTCTTAATTTTCTGGGAAAAGGACTGCCGAAGGTAAGGTTATTTTAAACTAAAGGCAAGATTTTATGGTACCCTGTGCTGAAGAGCCACAGTGTGTCAAGATACTATTGAAATTCATAAATTACTTACATTGTGTTTTATTTTTCAGTATATCTTTGGGGAATTCAGTCCTGATGAATTTAATCAGTTTTTTGTGACCCCCCGTTGCTCTGTTGAGGTAAGAACAAATTTAAAAATTTAAAAAGCGAAGAAAGTTCTAGTTCTTATAAAGAGCAATAAATCCTAAGCACTGCCATTGTGCCCTGTTTCAGTTTAAATTTTACAACATTGTTTTGTCTATTAAACATAATTTTCCTCTGATAAATCAGATGTATAAATTTCTTTTAACCGTCTCAGTAATAAAGGCCACTGTATATACTTCAAATAATTCAGGAAAAGCCCTATGTTTTCCTATTGTATAGAAGAAGAAGCACATAACATTCAAGAGGAAAGAGATGGGGATAGAATGTAATGTGGTTGGCTACTATCTTAACCATGGTTTAGATTTGAAATGCTTTGATTGTATCATTTAATAAACAGATAACTTGCTGGTGTTAAAATAATTTCCCCCAATTCTTCATTTATTTCTATGCAGCTGCCTCCCTACAATGACACCATTTCATGTGGTCTTAAGTCCACAGGAGAGCTCCATGATGGTAAGAAGCCATTCCTTCTTCACCACTGTTTTCCCAAACCTTTTGAAGTCCAGTGTATTGCAGGTTCGTTATTTGAGTTCAGCTTTGGGGATTTGGATTACTTTGCAGCTTAAGCTTACTAACCCAATTACCAGAATTATTCCTATTTTATAGTATGCTTAACTAATAGTTCATCCTACCTTCTCACTGATCCTTTGAATAGTTTTATTTTAAATCGACTAGGTATCTTGAGCCCTTTTGGGTGTCCATGATAATTGTTCATAATTTGGAACTCCCAAATCTTAAAATTACTGGATTCTTAGTTAGGAAACCCATCTTTGAAATTGGGAAAAATGGAAGTGACCTTTTATATAATTATTGTTTGCTTGTTGAGAGAGAGAAAGAATATTATTTGAACAGGGAAAGAAAAATATTTAAACTGTTTTACCATAGGAAGTAAACAAAAATATTGTTAGGTTGTGTTCTTTGATATATTAGGAGTAATATATTTAGCTTATAATTAATTAGTTTCTCACCGGGCAGAATTCACACTTAGTACTGAACAGCATAGAGCAGTCTTGTGCAATTACCGGTACTCCAAAGTGCACTCTTCTGCCTCACCTCCCTCCCCCCTGTCTCATGCATTCGCTCTCTGTATGTGTGTGTGTGTGTGATCCCAGTTAAGATATTTATATTAAATCATTAAGGAGGTAACTGATAATTAACACAAGATTATACTTATTTTTATTGTGATTTTCTAAAGATCTGATTTGAGCTAATTATTTGTATTTGCGCAGCTTTTTTGCATGCATTAAATCTAAGCTTTTTTCTGCCTTATTCATTTTTCCTCATCTTCCTTAATTGCTATGTATTATAACATTTTTTCCTCTCTCCTAGGAGAGGAATATCAGAGAATTGAATTTGGTGTTAATGAAGTGATTGAGGCAGGTTCATCTGTGCTGAATAACAGCGACTACAGTATTTCAAGTACCCTGAATCCTCAGGCACCAGAATTCATTCTGGGTTGTGCGCCAACCCCCAAGACACCCAGTGATGTCCTTGGCGACACCAACCACAACTCCATTGACTGCCAGTTCAGCGATGCTTCTCTTGCTTTGGATAATGGTTCTAATGCGGAAAGCGACAGTTTCTCTGGGAGCCTTGGACAGCGGGAACGCAAAAAGAAAAAGAAAAGGCCCCCTGGATATTACAGTTATTTGGAGGATGTCAGCGACGGTGTTCCTGTTGAGGCTTTGATAAACGGACATGCCGGCTCATCCAGACTTAATAGCATCAGCATAGACGATGTAGACTTTGCAGGTGATGTGCCAAGGACTTGTAACAGCCCTGAGAATTCTGTGGACTTCAATAGTGAAGCTGTGTCGGAGGATTTGGTTTCTAATGCTCTAGATACGACCAGAACTACAGGAACGCCCGAAGTATGCAGTGTTACTAATTTGGAACAGTCTTGTGTCTCCTCTGATCATGAAAGAGACAGCCCATTAAGGACAGCTGTTGTGCAGCCTTGTACTGAAACTACTGAAAACCTTGGTGTTACTAATGGGCAAACACTTGAATGCTCTAGCGAGGGCACAACTGCCAATGGGGTCGACTTGCAGACTGTGGAAAACATTGACTCAGACCAAGCTAAGCTGGAGGATGCTTCCCCTTCTACCGAGGCGGTCACCCCGGTTCCAGGATCAATTGTGGTGAATCAGCCTGCAAAATCATGGGCAAGCCTGTTTCACAACTCAAAGCCCTCGGTTTCCACACCTATGGCTTATGTGGAGACTAAGTATGTCCCTCCTGCCGTATCTCCCGTGGTCCCTGAGAAACAGGTTGACGTGAAAGAGGGGCCCGTTCCAGTTTCTGAGGATCCTGTAGCCATAAAGATTGCAGGTATCACTCGCTCAGGTTTGAGCCGAAGATAAGTGAGGAGAATTGTGTGGTGGAAGGACATGGTATTGGGTTTAATAAGAAAATATTAAAAAGATTCCCAAAGGTGTTTTTTTTTTCTTTGTTCTTTCCTTGGAGATGTTTTGCATCTCATCCAAGAAGCTTCTTCAGTTGCGGCTGAATGGTGGGGAATGGAATAACTGAACTGAAGAAGCTTCTTGGATGAGAAGCGAAAGGTCTCCAAGGAAAAACAAAGTCCAGTTGCCTTTTGAAAAAAAGCACGTTTGGAAAATCATGACCTGGATGACTGAGAATCTCCATAGACATATTAAAATAGCATTAGAAGGAGTGCTCACTGGTTGCCTCATTTAGCAACCATTCGAAATTACAAGGGTATAAACCCTTCTAAAGCATTTAATTGTGGGGGAGTCTGTAGCAATCTAAAAGATTGCGACCTTCAATTCAAGTAGGATTAATGGAGAATCTGGAAGTAAAATTGCAAGTTGCAGTCACGTAATGTCTCACTTAACTAACTCAGTGATTTGCTGTAGTAAGCCCATTGTGGTCACATGATTTTCGGCTTAGCGACAGTTTTATACCCCCAAGTGTAGTTCCTAAATGAGGATTGTGTGTAATTGAGTGTTACTGTGATACCACATTGCTACGTTTTTAGTATTCTTTTGAGTTGATAAGTACACTATAGGTCAGTGATGGCGAACCTTTTAGAGACCGAGTGCCCAAACTGCAACCCAAAACCCACGTCTGTATAGTCGGGTGCCTGGTGGGCGTGGCCCATTGGGTGGGCACCGCCCATTGGGTGGGCACGGCCCATTGGGTGGGCGTGGCTGCGGTGCTAACGGCAGACTGGGTGGGACTAAAAAGTTCAATCAATCAATTCCAACTTTGCGAGATCTTTTTTTTTCCCCGTGAAAAGTTGAAATTGATTGATTGAACTTTTTTTTTTTTGCACACGGCGGCGGAGGCCTAAAGCGAAAAGGTTTTATAAAACCCAGCTGAAGGCCTAGGACTGGGGCGACGGCGCGCGTGCCCACAGAGAGGGCTCTGAGTGCCGCCTCTGGCACCCGTGCCATAGGTTCGCCACCACGGCTATAGGTGTAACTTCTTTCTAGTCCTGATGTTGCGTGGACTCTATCAGACATGTAAAATCCCCATTTTTTTCACCCACTGTCCTGATTGAAGTCTAGCCCCTTTCTGTTCTGAAGGACTGAACTCTGTTGGGAAAATTGGTTGAATAGAGTCTCTCTGATCCCCTTAAGAAAAGCGATTTAACCACTTGGTAATAGACAACAGTGAAACACTGAGTTGGAAAATCAAAGCTTGCCTGGCCCACTTGGCCTATTGTGAATGAGTGACAGTAGATCATACCTGTCTCAATTTCCTCTTCAGTCAAATGAGTAAACCAATGAGAAGGCATTAGCTTAGCTTTCCCAAAGCTGATATTTATTGATTAAAATTATATGCTGCTTATCTCGCCTAGAGGTGGTATCTTCCAGATCGGATAGAATTGCAACTCAGAATTCCCAGCTAACCAGTCCATGGAGTGGACCCAGTCTTGTTGGAGCAGGGAGAGGACCCAGGCCACTTGGGAAGGGGAGGGGGAAAGGGAGGAGGCCCACCTACTGCTGGGCCTAGCCGGGGAAGATTTCCACATCCTGGTGGGTGTCAGGCCTCCCAAGGACTTGCCCACACCCTGAAGCAACCCTGCACAGTTACTTAATGAACTGCAGTGGGGAGGACAGGGATTGTGGTTATTGAGCAAGGCAGTCATGTGGATGTCTTGCTTAACAACCATGATTTACACCCAAACGTCCAGGCTTAATTGTTGTAAGGGTTACCTGTAGCTGCCAAGTCTTCATAAAGTAAGATTGGTAACCAAAGTACAGTAAAATAATTATATCATCCTGGACAGTCTTCTTGTATAAGTTAACTCTGCCTGGTACAGAAAATAATAGAATCTTGCCACAAAGGATGGGTTTGCCAGTGTTGACTGAATTGCCTAATGTATTTGCCATTTAACATCCTGAGCTTGATATCGATTCCAAACCGTGAGGAATAAAATCTGGTGTGCTTCAGATACGTAAAAATAATAGTGCTTAGTCACCCTTTGTTCCTAGGCTGATTTTCTTTATCTTGAGTAAAATATCCAAAAGTAAATTGCATACAATACTGGTGATGGAGTGCACAATTGTCTGCAACATATTCTCTTGTTTTAAATTTAACAGTTTGTCTCTTTAAAATTTGGCCAATTTTAATTTCATATTTGTCGTGGTTCCCACAGATGAAACTCTTCAAAAGAACTTCGAGGCATTGTTTACCTTAAAGAATCTTTTATTCGAGAAGCAAAATATCGGCACTACATAGTTAAAGCCAAAAACTGAATTCCCCTCCCCTGAGCACAAAGTAACAAAGCACAATTCGCTCCTCCAACTAACAGTCATAAATCACATTCCCCAATTAGCTTGAAACACAGGCTCTCTCCATAGTTCTCCAGCCAAATGTTACCAACTCTGGGCTCAGCAACCTTGAGTTCCCACGGCTTAGTTTTTTGTTGTTATGACTAACTGGACTCTCATCCACATCCCCTCCTCCCAGCATCAATCAGCTCTAAAAGTGAAAGAGAAAAATGAATGCATTTCCATCTGTTGTCAAAGCAATAATACCTGATGTTAGCAGCATTGACAATATTCTTTATATACTAGTAATCTAGCAGTGGTATTGTACTAGTTGGATAATCCCCCCCCCCCCAATGTAGACTATAGCATTTTAAAAATAGTACTATTAGGTTTGTTTCCTGCTATTCAATCTCAAAGGACTATGTCTATAATAAAAATTGTACATAGTAAGTCTTCTATTAAATATGATTTTATCAAATATGTATTATTGGGACTCTTACTGCTAGTGCTGGTTGAAGAGCTTTGAGGTCAGTAAGGGTCTGATTCTTCGAACTTTGTGCCACCAAGGAAGCTTGCCTAGCCTTGCTTAATGTCTAGTGCAACTTCAGTAAAGCATTTCAGAACAAGACTGAATATTTGATCAGATAAATACAGTTGTGACACAGTCCGGTTTTTAACGATCCTTGATTTTGCTTAATGGTTATTGTATTAGCTGGGAAGTAATGTTTTCATACTCCTGAACATGTATGTAATTAGAAAGAAATGGCAGTATCTAATCATTTTCCTCCAAGTGCCCTTAGAGCAGTTGTAATGGGAATATTTAGAATAAATATAAATGCATTGTTAAGTAATAAACAGTTATGCTTGCACATTCTGTTGAGCAGCTGCTGGTGAAGTTCTGCGCCATGTATGGGATACCGTTTTCCTTATTTGTAACTCCATACCAGTAAAGCATAGCTGTAGTAGGCAAGAAACAGTGATAAATTGCTTTCTTTGACCACAAGGGGATGCTGAAATTCTGTTTTTCACTTTCCCCACTTGATTTGTGATGGCTTTGAGCAGGCTTTTGTTGATGTCTTTGAATTTGTTTTTCATCTGACAGAATTACTGGAAAATGTAAAGCTAATACATAAACCAGTATCCTTGCAACCACGAGGGCTGATCAATAAAGGAAACTGGTGTTATATCAATGCTGTATCCTTACCTTGAAAATGTGTTAACCATGTTTGTTAATATCTTGTGTTTCTGAAGTACTAAGGATGAATGGATTTTATTACAAGTAGCATTAGCCAGTAGCTGTCATAATAGCTACTCGGTGGCTCCCTTGTACTATAAAAAGTAATGTGTATTTTATTCCAAAGGCTGTCCGATGTTTGTATAAAACGCATCTAGCTATTTGTTTTTATGACTCCTTAATGCAGTTCTCTAGACACTGCAGGCTTTGGTAGCTTGCCCTCCTATGTATCATCTAATGAAGTCCATTCCGATGTTTTCCAAAACACAGAGGCCATGTACTTCTACGCCAATGATCGACAGCTTGTAAGTATATCCCATCAGTTGATGCTGGGGGTTATAAATTGATCATCTACTCTTTTTAAAAATCGGAACATTTTAAAGTTAGAAATAGGTATTTAATGTTACCACAATCATTATGATCTCCACATGCAACAGTAGAAGGCTCGTCTTTTGGGATTTGGCAATATCCTAACTTTGGTGTGAGAAGAAAGAAGCAGTGCATAATAATTTTGCCCAGCTACTGTGGGGAAATATAAAATACTGGCCATATTCTGGCAAAGAAAATGCATACTTTTAATTGTCTTGCCTGAGGAAAAGATATGAAATACATACAGAATGGCATTCTGAATTGAGATTTTGATGAAGCAGGCAGACACTGAATGTTATAAGAACATTTGATCCTTACCGTTTCCCACACATCATTGGATTGTTGCACAGGTATCTCTGTAGATAAAGCCAGACTTATTGTTTCTGAAATCAGTTTTCTTTTCTGTTTAGTGTCCGCCTAATGAACGAGTTTACAAACATGCCAGTCCCCCCTAAGGCAAAACAAGGTAGGCAATTAAAATACCAGCATCTATCCTACTTACTACAAAAGCGGAAGGAGTCTGGAGAATGTAACCATTGAGCTGAACTAGCTAGAAGCATGTCTTAGATAATGTAAAGCAGCACAAATCCAATCTTATTTGTGAAGAAAGTATGATGATGATTTGCTTCTTCTGTATTTTTAATATACTTGGTATACGTTGCAAAACTGAGTGGAAGACAACCTGTTGAACCTGTTGTGTTCTGTTGCATTCTTACATCATTTATTCTGGTGAATTAATAATCTTCTGCCTTTCTGCCAAAAAAAGGCATCTGTCAATAAAAGAATGGATTAAGAAACATGGTTCCCAGCAAAAACTAACAAAGACTATTTTAAATATTGGTGTTTGTGGTTCTGTACGGATCTCCTGTCTCATATCTTCTACCCAGCTCTCTGGTGTAGGCATTACCAACATGAAAGTCTTGCAATAATGCCACTATAATATGGTGGCAATACTAACCAAAGAAGTTAGCCTTTCTTGTTTTTCATATATTCATAATTGTTCTCCTCTTTTGATGGTTATAGCTTTAGGTAACACATTTATGGTATGCTTTTAGTAAAACATTTAAGAACAGTGAATTGAAAATGGATCACTGTTTTTGTGTCATCATATACTCAAGCAGCTGGCTGTTAGAAACTTTTCCTAATTTTGGGTTGCAGCTTTAAGTGATAAAATTGCACGCGACATCAGACCTGGAGCTGCCTTTGAACCCACGTACATTTATAGATTGTTGACCGTTATCAAATCCAGCCTGTCAGAAAAGGTGAGGATTCCCCACGTAAGTAATGCTGCTGGAGCGGAATTTGAATCGTGTTTTAATATGTCTTGTTTTATTATCCCTCTCTGTCTAGAGCAGAGTTCCCCAACCTTTCAGGGCTGGCGGCCCGGAGTGGGGGGGGGGTGAGGTTGGGAGAAGAAGGGATGGTTTTGTGGGACCGTGAGCGCTTGCGCATGTGGTGCTGCAAATACCCACGATGCTCATGGCGACGCTCACCTGAGTGGGGCTGCAAAAGCTCAAGATGCGGCAACATTCGCGTAGATGGGGCTGTCCACGCGTGCACACACACATGCTACTGGTCAGCCACTCACCCGGCCCGGTGGCCAATAGCCCGGGGCCTGGTAGTGGGACGCCGCCCACAGGTTGGGGACCCCTGGTCTGGAATATCCAGATAATATCAGACTGAAAGAAACAGTTACAAGAATAATATCTTAGTTGCTGATAAGATTCAGAGCAGATCAACCATAATCGGTATTGTGTCAAATACAAGGTACTACTTTGTCTGCCAATCTTAGGAAACAGTAATTTAATTTCAGCGTTTCAGACTTCATGAATTCAGAATCAAGAGAATTGATTAACATAAGTTGCAAGGCTAATTGCTTTATTAATGTTTACCCAAATCAGCGACTGATGATGCTCATGTTTCTTGCTCACAATTTCTAAATATTTCAGAAAGAATTAGTTCCCTTTATTAGCCTTTTTCATTTATCTTTTGTTTTAAATTTGTTCTTATGTATTATATTGTTCTTACTTTATGACTATAAACAAACTTTGAAACTATGTCACTGTCAACTCCCCCCATCCCTCAACTTTAGAATTAAACTGCTGAAAGGACAATACATAAGAGTCTACGCTGGTGTTCATGTGAAATGCATATGTGGAAGGGAAGAAGTGGGTTATGTATCATAATGTTTATTACAGTCAGAAGATCTGAAGAGGGTTATATAAAGCTTTAGCAATTGGTACACGCAAACATTAGCCCTCAATTCCAAAATGCTAATGCAAGTAGTCTTGACTTACAACTACAATTGACCCCAACTTTTCTGTTACTAAGTGAAACATTTGTTAAGCGAATTTTGCCCCATTTTACGACCTTTCTTGCCACAGTTGTTAAGTGAATCACTGCCGTTAAGTTAGTAACACGGCTGTTAAGTGAATCTGGCTTCCCCATGGACTTTGCTTGTCAGAACGTCGCAAAAGGGGATCACGTGACCCCGGGACACTGCAACCGTCATAAATACGAGTCAGTTGCCAAGTGTCTGGATTTTGGTCATGTGACCATGAGGATGGTAATAATGGTCGTAAGTGTGAAAAATGGTCATAAGTTACTTTTTTCTCTGCTGTTGTAACTTTGAACAGTCAGTAAACAAACGATTGTAAGTTGAGGACTACCTGTAGGTTCTTTCTGATGGAGGCCTTATCATATTAAAAGTTCTCAATGATGGAATGGATCTTAAATTTGTTCAGTTTATTACAATTAGTACAAATATCCGAACAGGGTTTTTAACCCTTTGAGTGTGTCCAAGGAGGAGGTGATATGAGGCTTCCATGTGTTCCTTCTGCTTGGCTTAAACCAGTGTTTCTCAACCTTGACAATTTTAAGGCATGTGGACTTCAACTCCCAGAATTCCACAGCCAGCATTGCTGGCTGTGGAATTCTGGGAGTTGAAGTCCACATGCCTTAAAATTGTCAAGGTTGAGAAACACTGGCTTAAACTCATAGGCATTCGGTGGAGGAACTCTTTAGGGTTGAATTAGCAATGCATTCTGGAGTTGGAATGCAACCCCCTCCCCCCCCCAAAAAAAACCCCTACCCATTTTAGAATAGAATTTGGGAGAATAATGGAGCTAGGTGTACCCCTTTGCCTTTGGATCATTAGTGAGATCCTGAGCAAATCTAGGCAGCTCCCGGTCTTGGAACAATGAGTGACTGTGAGTAACCTAATGCAGAATCATTTATGCAGGGTAGACAAGAAGATGCCGAAGAGTACCTAGGATTTATTCTAAATGGCCTACATGAGGAAATGCTGATTCTGAAGAAATTGCTCTCTCCACATAGTGAAAGTACGTTTTCGAAAAGCCAATTAACATGTATGATTCTCCCTCATATATAATTCCTTTATATCTGCTGCATAAACACTGTGTGTCATGAGTAGCCATTATTTTTCTTCCACTATGTAAATTGTGATTAATGATTTTCCCTTTAGTATGAAGTAATTGCTAAAAAAAAAGCAATTCAGATTAAGTATTGCATCTGCACTGCCAGTCATAGTCAAGGCAGGTTCCTTTCTTCTCCAGTCTCTTTGGGAAATCATTTTCTGTAATTCCTCACTGCTCCGTCCCTTGGCATGAAGTTTTAACAGTAGTTAATGTAAGAAACTTATCTTTTAAATAGATTTAAATGATGTATTTGGCCAGAAATGTAACCATATTCCTATGCAGAGATATGCAGCCTTCAATCACTCTTAGCCCTGTTTTTCAATATCCACCCGCTTCCCAAAATCTAGTCTCTGCTAAGAATAATCTTTCTGTTTTCTGTGGCTTTGGGATGAGGGTTGGAGGTGTGTGATTGTGCATTTGTCTCTGTCCCTACCCATTGCTTCCATCTCACCTGTATGACACCCAATCATTTGTCCTGAGGAAATGTAGCCCTTGAATAAAACCATTTGTTTAGAAAAATCAGCATAGAAGCCATGCTTTGTTTTGCACAGAAAGTTTCTTTGATGTCACCCCGCAGCCAATTTCAAAACAAAATGATCCTTCCCCTTCATTATGTGGTGAACCTGGGCAGGGATGACAGTGTCTCCTTTGTCCTCTAAAAACAGTTTCCAATGGCCCAGAGACCCAGCTTGTAAATGAAGAGGATGAACAGGAAGAACAAGGTGAAGGCAGCGAGGACGAATGGGAACAAGTCGGTCCACGTAACAAATCTTCTGTCACTCGACAGGCAGATTTTGTCCAAACCCCAATAACAGACATATTTGGTGGGCACATAAGGTATGTTGTATTCTAATCGTGTCATTATTAGCATCACGGAATAGAGTTCTGTGTTGCTTCTGATATATCAGGGTGTGATGTATGTTGACATTTCTGAATTCAGTAGTAAGGACAGCAGTGTGAAACAAAAATGATTGAAAAGGTACAGGGGAAATAAACCTCAAGCAATCAACATGCACAAAGGAAAGCAGGAACCCCAGAACTGTATAGGATGGGAGCATTTTAGGCAGGAGAGCATTCCAGAGTATGGGTACCACTGCAAAGGGGGTCCCATCAATTAAAAGAATATAAAAATGAAAAATCAAGTTGAAAGATGAAATGAAATAGAATGAAACAGAGCATAGTTTGCCATTTTCGATAAATGACATTTGAAAAACTAGATTTGTGTACTTTCAAAATGCCTTTTGTATATTTAAACTGACAGTAGTTGTTAACGGGTAAGCATGGTGTCCTATTTTTACATCCAAAGCAATTAAGATGAAACGGAGGGATTCCTGTTTTCTTCTTTTAAAAGAATGTCTTGTCAAAGGAGAGAGCCACAGAGTTCTATTCCCACATGTGTTGTCTGCTTATGCCGCACCCATCCTACTCTACAAAGTAGGTCACCACAGAAATAGGATCTTTCATAGGGATATTGGAAAGCGTTTTTTGTGAGGCCAGTGGTGGAGATAGGAATTATTTGCTTTTTAAAAAAAAAACGTCAAAACTGCTGCATTTTTCATGTCTTTCTCAGAAATGATGAATTAGCATCTTCCCCTTCCTAGCACAGTTTTAGGGCCCCCCTGAAATTTGTGGGAAATACTATTTTCCAATAGTAAGTGGATGTTCAGATATGTACAGTTTTGCAATACCGAAAGGCATTTTTGATAGCTATAATACATTTCAAACAACAAATCTATAAAAGAATTAAAGTCATGGAGAATATTGAGCTTCTATAAGAGCACTCACAAAATAGAGTAAACCTTCGCCTGGTAAAAGTCACATAACATTTAAGACTATCTTTACTAATTGCTTAAAAGCTGATTTCCAGATTGACCTCTCAAGGGAGGAAACTCCAGAATCTATCGAGGCCTTTTGACATCAGCCATACTTCAGATGACAATAGAGTATGGTGTGATCTCAGGGGACAGGTAGAAACTTGTAGGATTCAAAGTTGATTCTGTAGACCTTGGAGGCCCACACTCTTTTCACGCAGAGAAATGAACAGCATATTAAGTAGAAAGTAAAAGCAATATTAGAGTAATACATTCTAAATAAGAAACTCCTGCAAACACTATAATGACAGCCTCAGTCAACACCAGTTTCGACTTTTGTACACTTTTCAGAGCAGATCCTCAAATTGGCCAATTTTTAAAGAGAGACACGAAACTAGGTTGATAAGGGAGGGGAGGCTTTATTTTTTTTAAGGTTTAGCTCCAGGTTGGTCCACTGATTAAAGAAAAAACAGTGGTTCCAGTTTTGTGAAATGGGGGCTTGACTTTGTTTGTAATATATCAATTTAAAAAAAAAAAAAAACAACCATAGAAATGATTTTCACCTGCATTACCCACCACAGGCGCTGTAGGTTTTTATTACCCCTTCTGTGTGCTTTGTAAAAACATCTCTTGAAATGCTAATTTAAAACATGAGTCCTTGTAAAGGCGAACATAGTCTAATTTGAATCAGCGACAGCTTCCCTGCTATTCAAGGCTAATGAACCCACTTCGGTCTGAATAAATAACCTGGCAGTTCATACAGTGTCACAAAGACGACACTAATGTAACTGAATAGGGAGAGCAAGTTGCCCTTTAGAAACAGTAGCTGTGCTATTATGAGGGCTTAACGTGGATCAAGAAAGAGTTGCTTTTTACCAGGAAATAAAGATGCCCCTGTACAAAAAGGTGGCTGTGTATGAGCATTAAAGAGACAGAGTTTTATTGAACTGGATTACCTTGGCTTTATTCAAAATGTCATGTAATGCATGAACTTAAGCACGTTCAGTATGAGGATATGGATATACTGAAATCTTTGATGGATCAGAAATAGCAGTATGGTTGAAGATCTCGGAATGTAGAAAATTTCTTTTGCAGCTCTAAAGAAAAGGAGCGAGGAAGGAAACAACAGTCTTCAAGTGTTAATCAGCAAGTGACGAACTTCCCATTTTTTTTCATCCCATTTCTTGTAATAGGCTCATTAAATCTTGACTGTGTCTTTCCATGAAACCTAAAGTTGTGACTTTCCAGATAGAAAAAAATGTTGTGTTGGTTCTAACAGCTGATCCAGTTGTGGTGTTTGTATCACTCAAAGGTTTTGGGGTATCTTCCTTTCAATGCACATCACACTGGATTTTTTTTTTTTTTATAGAAAAGTAGGAATAAATTTAGCGTAGGGGATGGCCAGGTTGAGTCTGAGGGAGAGGTCAAACGCTTCATCAGTTATGAGTCCCTGCTAATTTCCCTTGACCGTTAGTAGTTCAGATTCTTGTAGAGAGCTTAAACTTAACAATAAATCTTTATAGACATACCTGGATCTCCTGATTTCCCTAGTGCTGGACATTTGGTGGTTACCTGTCTTTCCAGGGTTCAGTAATTAAATAGTTTTCAGAAACTCGTCAACACTTCACTCTTCCTCGTTTCTTTAGGTCTGTGGTTTACCAGCAGAGTTCGAAAGAGTCTGCAACTCTGCAGCCATTTTTCACTCTGCAATTGGATATCCAGTCGGATAGGATACGTACCGTTCAGGATGCCCTAGAGAGCTTGGTAGCAAGAGAATCTGTTCAGGGCTACACCACAAAAACCAAGCAAGAGGTAGGTGTTTTCTGGATAGTAAAATATTTGCTTATCCTGCTTGGTGTTGTACACAGAGAGTCCTCGACTTAACGGTCACAATTTGAGCCCAAAACTTCTGTTGCTAAGCAAAACATTGGTTAAGTGAGTTTTGCCCCATTTTGCGGCCTTTGTCACAATTGTTAAGTGAACCACTGCAGTGTTAGCAACACGGTTATTAAGTGAATCTGGTTTCCCCGTTGACTTAGCTTGTCAGACGGTCGCAAAAGGCGATCACGTAACGACGGTCATAAATATGAGTCAGTTGCCAAGACTTTGAATTTTGATCACATGACCACGGGGCTGCTGCAACAGTCGTAAGTGTAAAAAACCGGTCCTAAATCACTTTTTTGTGTGTGTTGCTGGAACCTCTTGCAGCAACCAGCAAATTAAACGTCCTGCTGCTTTCTTATATTGATTAGCAAAATTCATGCACAGTTAATGGAACTGTTATGCGTCTTGTGGTATTTTTCCACTGCAGCAGATTGGCATATTAACATAATCATTAAAAAAAAAGCCTTAATGCAGGAAGCACAAGAAATCTTTGTAAACAGAGTGATGCACCACATGCTAGAAAAAAAAGTTGGCATTTCCACACTGTTTAAGCATTCAGGAGTTGGGGGAGGCCATCTGCCTGGAAAAACCAGAGTGAGAAATATGTTGCCTTGCAAAATGATGTGTGGGCATATATAACCTGTCTGGATTTTCTGTCTGACACTTGTGGGAGGGGTGGTGGGGGAACATCTCCTTGTTGCCTGAGAAGCCTCCTTGTATGGGGAGAAATCCTCCACCTCCTTTGGATTTACCATCTACGTTTTGCTTGGCTTGCCACTCACTTTTGGGGTTTGCAACATAACGTGGTTTTAGTCTTCTCATTTATTTGTAAACTAAAATTTGCAATTATGGTTTCCAGAAAAGAGGATGTTCGCTTTAAGGTGCTAGTCTAGTCTGATTTATGTGTTAGTGTCCTGTCTGAGAGGAGCAGACAAGTCTCATAATCATTGGGGGGGGGGAAACCCCTTAAAATCATTGTGAATGTTACGCCCTTTAACTTTTGCACTTTGTAGCATTTCTTAACATTTATTTGTTTGTTTGATTTCTATAATTACCCATCTCAGTAAATGACTCTGGGCAGCTTACAATTCAAAACATACATTACTATTAAAAATTTAAAAACATTTTAAAACAATAAAAGCGCACATGTACCGATTAAGCTTATAGTTTCCTGGATATAATACAGAAGCAGTCAATCTCTTTAAGCTTGACTCAGTGATTAATTTTTAGCCAGTGCCAGGAAGAAAGAGTTGACCGTATGAAAATTAGGCTAATTGCAAGCTTTAAGTGTACTGTTTCTGGGTAATCTAGAAAACAGCTTGCTTTGTCCTGATTTGGAAATTTCCCAGCTGACCTCAAATTCTGAACTCAGCTTAGTTCCAGAATATCTATACACTTTTTTTTTGCTGTTGTTTTGACAAGTCTTGGATGAAAATTCAAGGGAGTTATCCATAATTTTATCCATAATTTTTCTTTAGCCTTTTGTTACACAAATGTCCGACAGCACAAAGATGATTCTAGTTAAGGGACCTGAAACATTTGAAAAGGGCACACACTGTTTTGTTTTGTTTTTTAATAGAGAAAATTCAAATTTATGTGTGCTTTTTGGAAGAAAGTGATATTTTGCTTCTCTGCCTTTCTCCTTTTCTGAAGGTTCCTTTTGTGTGTTTTTTATTGTTTTTTAATTGTATGGAAATGACAAACTGAGCTTGCTCCCTTATTTATTTATTTTGCCATGTTTGTGTTCCATCCCAATCTTTAAGGACAGTATACAGCAGGGGTAGTCAACCTTGGCTCTTTTATGACTCGTGGACTTCAACTCCCAGAATTCCTGAGCCAGCTAAGCTGGCTCAGGAATTCTGGGAATTGAAGTCCACGAGTCATAAAAGAGCCAAGGTTGACTACCCCTGGTATACAGCAACATGAGGATCAACAGAGCCATATAATCCACCGGTATAAAGTATCAATTGCCAGTTGGATTGATTTTGACAATCGTATTAGTGGCAATGGAGATTCAGTTAAAATTCTGCTTTTTCTCTGCCAGGTAGAGATTAGTCGAAGAGTAACTTTGGAAGAGCTGCCTCCTGTCCTCGTTTTGCACCTCAAGCGATTTGTCTATGAAAAAACAGGGGGGTGCCAGAAGCTCATTAAAAACATTGAATATCCTGTTGACCTGGAAATAAGTAAAGGTGAATTTTGTGAACAGGGCAGCTTTTTTCGTTTACTGCTTTGGTGTAGCTTTTTAATCATCATCCTTTTCTCTCTCTAAAAGTTTCTCATAAAACATTTTCCTTGCAGAAGTTCCACAGTTATCAGGCCTCAGACATTCTTTCTTGGCAGGCTAAAAGTCTTGCAACACTTTAATTGTGCCATTTTGACAAGTGTAATCTTTAGTATCCCCCTTCCCCCCCCCCCAATATTATAAATCAGCCTTAAACTTTTCTCAACTTCTAAATTACTAGTGTTTGTATGGATATTGTAGCTGAAGTGAGCCAACACACTCTCCATCTGCTTCCCAAGTCACTTTTATATTACTAAAGTGTAACTCCTACACAGGCATCCCAAATTACGTGGCTTCTAAACGTGTTTTGCCTGAAACAAAAACCTACCATTGTCACATGCCAAGACAACCATCTTGTGTGCCAAATTGTTTTGCATTGAAACAAATCCCATATGTTTTGTTTGTCCAAATTTTGGCTGAAATCAAGCCCTTCTGGCGTTTAATGTTATGAGGCGGGGGTCTCCAACGTTGGCAGCTTTAGGACTTGTGGACTTCAACTCCCAGGATTCCTCAGGCAGCCATGCTGGGAGTTGAAGTCCACAAGTCGTAAAGTTGCCAAGGTTGGAGACCCCTGTTATGAGGCAGGTGTGGCAAGGTGGGTTTGCTCCTTATCCCTCCCTATCAAGTGCAAAACAGTTAAACTAAAACTCCCTGGAAGAATCTTTGCATCTCTTGGGCCATTGCAGCTGAATGGAGGAGCTAACGCCAGCACACTCTTGTCACCCGCCCCCTCCTTGAGACTTCACTGGGTTCACTCCTGTTCCTTGCTTGATTGCATGTGAAAAAGAACAGCCAGAAGTTTTTTGGGTCTTCTAGAGGTGCTAATTCACCACATGGTTTGTTGTGTACTGTTTCAGAGCTGCTGTCACCAGGAGTGAAAAGTAAGATTTTTAAAGGCCAAAGAACCTACCGGCTCTTTGCAGGTATGTGGTCCTACCTCGTTCAGGTCAAGAATTTTGACGGGAAAAAAATCATTTTGGTTTCTTTCCTTCCTAAATTTAAAGTAGTTGATAATTGTACAAGCAAAAGTTTAGAATTGTGAAGTTCCAGGACCTGAAGTCAAGTTCCTAATTAGATCCTATTCTGTAAATCAAAGGAACTAATTAAATCGTTCTAGACTTCCCATTTGTGAAGGTAAAAATGTAACATTAGCAGTTGGAGCTATGGATTGGGAGAGAAAGTTGCTTGGATTATGGTTTGGGCAGGAGGATATTTCTGAAATGTAATCATTTCTTAATTACACAAATTGGGTGATTGCACAGCTGCTACGAAGAATAGCTGTCATGTCCTCTCAAACACTCCAGAGGGGATCATTTGTAAAAGGGATCCTCCTTGGTGAGATAACTTATGCAAGCAAGAGATAATAAGATTTTTTCCCCCTGCCTCTAACTGCTCTGTAAAATCACCACGTGTTAAAGAAATCACTGTGGTTTTCACTAGCCTGTAGCAAACACGAAGGAAGTTTCAGGGAGAGATGAAGATTTATTTCACTTAGCTAAAGAGGAACAAGATGCTAGACATGGCTCTTACATATCTCAGTGCATCCTTGGTCACGTCTTCAAATCTTTGGGCTCATGCCTAGGTATGGGAATGGTGAGGGCCATGCTGCTGTTTCTAGAAGTCCTCCATATCAACATACTGAAGTGATGGCAGAAATGGACCAGCCTCTAGACAAAGATGAGCAACTATGGCAACTTTACACTCTGTGGATTTCAACTCCCAGAATTCTGGCTCAGGAATTCTGGGAGTTGAAGTCCACAGGCAGTAAAGTTGTCATAGCTGCTCACTCCTGCTTTAGACCAGGGGTCTTCAAATTTGGCCCTTTTATGACTTGTGGACTTCAACTCCCAGAATTCCTCAGCCAGGCACGCGTGCCTGGCTGAGGAATTCTAGGAGTTGAAGTCCACAAGTCATAAAAGGGCCAAGTCTGAAGACCCCTGCTTTAGACCAACCGGCTCTTTTTGCAACTTGTCGGTCCAGCTTTGCCTACCCATTTCCCATTAACAATTGTGTTTTTTTTTTCTTGTTTTTTTTTAATTTAATGTCTTGGCAGTTGTCTACCATCATGGAAACAGCGCAACTGGTGGACACTATACTACAGATGTCTTTCAGATTGGTCTTAATGGCTGGCTGCGCATAGATGACCAAGCTGTCAAAGTAATTACTCAACACCAGGTGGTAAAACCGTCAGCCGAGCGCACAGCCTACCTCCTGTACTATCGCCGAGTTGACCTGCTTTGAAAACCTCCAATCTTCTGCTGTGTTTGCCAGATTATCTGCTTTCTAGAATGCCAACTCTCTTCTCCTTTCTCCTTCCCCTTTTCCTTTTCCGTGCTCTTCAGAGGCCACCTTTCTCCTCTCCTCTCCTCTCCTCTCCTCTCCTCTCCTCTCCTCTCTCTCTCTCTCTCTCTCTCTCTCTCTCTCTCTCTCTCTCTCTCTCTCTCTCTCTCTCTCTCTCTCTCTCTCTCTCCCCCCCCCTTTTGCAACTGTTGAGTAGAGGGAAAGGGTTTCCAGAGGTGTGTGAACACAACCCAGTTTGGTGTTGTTTGTTGACTTGGCAGAATGAAGTCTTTGGGCTTACATAATTCAAGCCTTGTGAATCACATGGAGGTTGTAGGGTTTTCTTTCTTTTCCTTTCCTTTCTTTTCCTTTTTTTTTTTTTTTTGGCGCTAATGCTAAGTCCTAAGAGATTAAAATGGGATTTGCAATTGATTCCCACTTTCTAAATGCATAATAGGAACAGCCTTGCACCAGCAACAAAACTTGTAGATTTCTGTGAAAATGTTTTATCTTTACTTAAAAAAAAAACTTTTAAAAAAAAGAGACCTGCCCTTCTACATCTTCTCCCATTAGTTTTTTTGATAAATGATAAAAAAATGAGCCAGTGTCTATCAAGGAAAAAAAAAGTTTCTCCTTTAAAAAAAAAACTCTTAAAAAAATTACAATATACAGTTGCTGGTTTCTGATATGAGGAAAAAAAATACTCATTTTAATAATTGTGCGATGGAAAACTGCTTAAGTACACATTGCAGATCAAAATATTTGGAGTTAAAATGTTAGTCTATATAGATGGGTGATTGTAACTTTATTGCTATTAAGAGATTTCAAAACTGCATTTATGCTTCTGTGTACATGGGATTTTAAAACAAAAAAAATGGGCAAAATAATGAAGGTTGATATTTCTTTTAGTCTGCTTTGTTTAATTTTGCTGTCTGCTCTCCTATAATGTTGAGTTCCTAAGTGTACACAGTGTAGTGATATCTAGGAGTATAAAGTTGTCGCCCATCAATAAAAAAAAAAGTCACAAAGTTGGTTTAAAGCTTTTAAGAGTGTTCTTTGGGGAAGGGGATTCATCTAAACACAATAGAATGTTAGAAGGGGAGAAAGCTGAAATGAAGACTGAACTGTAAGCTAGATAGACACAAAGAAATGCAGTTTTGTGCCGTGGTTTGAGGCAAACGTATTGAGAAAAGTAATTGGGCCATCAAATACCAATTGCTCCAAAAGGTGTGATAAAAATAAGACAATGAGGGGTCCTTGGTGCTCTCTGAACTGGGTTGTTTTCTTGCAGAAGTTTCATTACCCAAACTATGGTAGGTAACATCATCGCTAGCACTGATAATGTTACCTAGTTTGGGTCATGAAACGTCTGCAGGAAAACAACCCAGCTCAGAGAGCACCAAGGACCCCCTCATGTCACCCCTGAGTTACAAATATTCTCCTTTATAAATAAGACAATGGAATTGAAGCGCCTCCCATTTTTTGTGTTTGTTGAGGTGGCCCTAATAATTGAAAAGGATGTTCAGAAATCTGAACACTGGGTTCCGGGAAGCAAGCTAGTTATGACCTGCCTTATAAGTTGTCACAGATACCTCTATGTGGAAATAAGCTAGATCTTGGATCTCATCCATTTGGGTGAAGATGTCAGGATACTGGGTTCTTAATGATAAGTGTAATGGGTCATGTTCTACTTTGAGTTTGCGTGATCAAGGCAAGTGGTTGTAGTAGGTATGCTGGGAAAAAATACTGTACATTAGTAAGGATATAAATTAGTATTTCCTTTTCTAAAGATCACATATTTTAAGGTTTCCTCTCCTTCCCATCTTCACTCCCCACAAATGGTTTAAATTATTTACTTAAAATTCTAGAGTAGACTGTCCCGATCAAGACTTGGACAGGGAACCCCGAAGGATAAATGAGAAGGAGCAACAATGCCAAACTAATTACAAATGTAACACAACTGGAGGCAGAGGCATCGTGGATTAAGAATCAGAGGAAATGCAAACAAAGAAGGCCCGAGTGTGTCTCCAAGGAAGGCATCTTGTAGAGCAGGGATGTCCAACCTTGGCCACTTTAAGACCTGTGGACCACAACTCCTAGAATTCCCCAGCCTGCTATTCTGGTTGGGGAATTCTGGGAGTTGAAGTCCGCAGGTCTTTAAAGTGGCCAAGGTTGGGCGTCCCTATTCTAGAACATGAGGCTTTTGCCAAGGAGACGGCTATCTAGTCCATACAGGGATATATTTTTAACAATACCAAGTAGAACTTTTAGCCGCTAGGCTGGGCTTATTGTTTTTTTGGGGGGGGGGGGAAGAATGGGAGAACAATTGTCTCCGCAACTCCAGGAGACGCTTTGCCAAAAGCCAAGTATCCTTTTCATTCTATATCTTGCTTTTAGTGAGGATTACCAGAGTGAGTGACCAAAAGAATTAGCAGGCCTTTTGGATCTTCGAAAGAGGCATAAGGGCTTCAGGTTTTCTTCTGCAATTGAATCGTGTTGGTTCTTCCCTTTTGGACAGCCCTCTGCCAGAACATCTGTGCGTATGCCGCGTGTCCTCTGGACTGCTTAGGAACTCCCTACTGGGAGGAACTGCAAAATTGGGAAGGGGGATTTTGGAGAATTCAGCTGTGATACCTTGTGATTTAGTATTTCTCTCTTCAAAGATGTGAAGGGACGGGGCACTAAATGCAAGGCAGAAGCACCTGTGACCAGGTCTATGTCTCTACCCTCATCTGTGGATAAATGTTAAGATGGGTTCCTTTGCGTTGGGGAGAAGGATGAGGGGAGGAGGATATTGCTCAAGTCCAATATCACCTTATGGTCTCCTGTCCTCACCCCAGAAGCTCATCGCCAGAGTTTTCGTGTCTCTGGACTCCCGCTGCTGCTACATGTTAGGTCAGTATGTAATAAAGCCTCCCTCGTCCACAATTTAACCATGGATGAGAATGCTGACTGGCCTGTACTACCAAATCTTGGTTGGACATGAGCGAGGGGGTCCCCCCTCTCTGAAATGTGTCTTCTGGCTTTCAAGTTCAAGGTGGGGTGAAGGTGTGGTTGTCATTCGTGAGTTTCTGGTGGCCCAGACCTCACCCAATGTAAGACCCTTTTGATGGGCCATAAAGATCAGTAGATAATGCCCATTCTGGAGACAGCTGGCACATTTGTTATTTGTCCTAACTTCAGCTAATTTGGCCATATAAAAGGCTGGGGTTTCAATGGGCATTACATTGGCGAGAAGCTTCCCCTTTCTCCACAGCCTGTGTTGAAAGATATTGTACAATTGCCGAACAGATACTCCAGCTGAGCTCTGGCTGCAGGATGTCTTGGCAATGCGATCTGTTGCTTTAAGAATTTAATGGCTTTTGAGCAGTTTAGAATAAAATAAGTGCCCTTTTAAAGATTTGGTCATAACAGTTGCAATAAACAAGACATCACAAAGCCATAAAATGTAACATAAACCAGACTTTCCCCCCTGAAAAAAGCTTGGACAAATAGACCTTTTTGACTGGTGCTGAAAAAGCAGATGAAAAGCATATGTGGGAAAGGAGGACTTTACTCGGTTCAAAGGCCCATTGGCGTGGGTGGATAGCCAAGGAGATCTTCCATAACCAGTCTTAACTACTGGTCAACTTCATTAGGAGAAGAGGAAGTCCTTCCATCTTGAACCTGTGTCCAGAAAGAGGCTTTGGAGCAGTGACACAGTTACTAAGTCTTGTATGTTGCCTTATATACTATGTGTTGGCAGGAGTGTGAGCACCAGTCATCTTCTATTGCCATGGAGGACGCTTGGCTTGGCTTATCAAGATGGCATCTCCCCACCCCAGTACACCACATGAGCTGTACTGGGAACATCAGAAGAGACTTCCATACACCCATAAATCCTGTACAGAAAGCCTCTCTTTGCTATTAAAAGCGTTTGAGGGGGGTGTAGATTAGGAGTAACTAAAGAGACCTGTCTCTTGGTGGACGGCTTGCAAAGGCACCACGTGGTTCTGGCAAATAACTTCGTACAATCCTTTTCCAAAACCTAGCATCCCTTCAGAATTTTCCGTATCCCGAGGGTGTGTTTTGAACTGCCTTTCAAGAACGTCCACAGAGAAATTCCCAGTTTTAACCCAGGGTCCAGTGAGATAAGGTGCCCTGTTGTAGGAATCCATTCTAAAAGGCATCAGGATGGAGGATCTGCCAAAGAACTGGTGCCAGACGGTTTGAGATGATCTGATGATCACCTTGCCAGATGAAGGTAGATTTGTGTGAAATCACCATCATGATTGGACTCCTGCCACTGGCTGTTCAGTCTCTTAACAACTAGGTTCCCAAACTGATGTGGCAACGCTGGAGCCCTCGTGCCAGAAGAAGCCACAGGCCACATTCACCAACTCTACCAAAGTTTGGAATCCTGTGTGGTAAACCATAAATCCAATGCCAAGCATGGCTTAGTGTGCTTTAAATCCAGCCATGTTTGACGAGATAAATGTCCCCACTCCCCTTGGAACGTCTGGGCATTGGCTAGAAAGTCTTGGACGGGAAATAAGAGATAAGACAACCACTTTGGAAAGATTTACTTCCAGGAAAAAAAACTTGCCAACCATATCTGGATGCTGTGTGCCAACGGGGGAGGAGGAGGAGGAGGAGGAGGAAGAAAAGAAAAAAAACCCCAAGCATATGCCAGAAGACCAAAGGGCTGCATGTCTCCAGTTGCAATTCACTCTAACCACAGTGGCAGACAAACCCACAACATGGTTTTAAACTGGTTTTATTGTCCTAAAACAAACCTCAGGGTATTCATTCATCTTAGTGTGGACATCCTGGTAAGATGAGAACTATATTAAGCTGCCACCATAGTTTCAATTTGTAGAAAGGAATAAGATAAGATAACCTTTATTGTCATTTTTTTTACTGTGGGCACAACGGCACATATCAAAAATGACATTTAGCTGCCCGCTCTCAAAGTGAAACACATACATGACGCACACCTAAACATACTATGAACAACATATGTATAGACCCACATCCCTACATATACATAGCAAATAAATATTAAATCACATGTTTGTTTTTAGACTCTTTCTAAATGAATCTTAGCCAGAAGCTTT